GTACTGTGATAAAATATTTAATTAGTTGCTTAGTGCTAATTACAGTGTCACGAAAGCCCAAATTAGCAATCGCTTGATCCTAACATGTGCTTGATCGTTAGCATTGACGATTTGAAAAATCGCGTTGCCGAAGAGAATCAAAGATCTTGCCACCGTTGATCGTTGTTCTAGCCGATTCATTTTTTCCTTTTCTCCGATTATTTCCATGGGAGAGGAACTTGGAGAAAGAAAATGAATAGGCTTGGGAGAAAGAAGATGTAGGCCCATCACCAAAAAATCAGAGCCGTCCGATAAATTGGGAGTACGGATGGGAGCACTGTGGAGGAGCAGGCAAGCCGCGTCCGTCCCCAACTATCCCTTATTCAATAAGATGTCATGCATCAATCCTAGCACTACAACAAAAGATTCACAGTTAAAACACTCATAGATCATCTTTTCCCATGGTTGACATATCACACCATAGCTGTGTTTAGTTCGTGTGCCAATTTTTTTTAAGTATATGGACACACATTTGAAGTATTAAACGTAGACTAATAACAAAACAAATTACAAATTCCGCATATAAACTTCGAGACGAATTTATTAAGCCTAATTATTAATCCGGCATTAGCAAATATTTACTGTAGCACCACGTTGTTAAATCATGGCGTAATTAGGCTCAAAAGATTCGTCTCATGATTTACATAAAAATTGTGCAATTGTTTTTTTTAACCATATTTAATGCTCCATGTATATGCTTAAATATTTGATGTGACGAAAATATTGAAAGTTTGAATAAAATATTTTGAATCTAAACATGGCCCATATATAAATGAGTACTTGTAGTCCTATATGGTCCGTGAATCCGTACGTGATGGATAATATCGAGACCGGCCGCTCTTGTTGGGTCGTCAACGTGTACAGGACCTGCTGCTTTTGCACGGCTACACGATCGATCAATTCATTCGTTACCAGTCCTGCAGTGCGGACGACTGCGGAGTACGTAGTACAATTAATATACAGTACCAAGGTCTGGTTTAGTTCTAAACTTTTTATTTAAACTTTTAATTTTTTCATCACATCAAAACTTTTCTACACATATAAACTTTCAATTTTTCTGTCATATCGTTCCAATTTTAACCAAACTTTCAATTTTAGCGTTATTCACCCCAAAGCATCAGGCAGTCCATGCATGAGATCATAAGGAGCATTACTCCTCGAGATCCATCTCCGTGTGGCTAATCGCCCAAAAAGCTGAAACGAACCTTGCCCTTACTCTGTATCAGCATCAGGCTCGAGCACCTCGAAGAAGAAGTAAATATTTCTTCCGTTTTTAAATATTTGACGTCGTTAATCTTTTTTTAAATATGTTTAACCTATCCGTCTTATTAAAAAATTTAAGTAATTATTAATTCTTTTCCTATTATTTGATTCATTGTTAAATATACTTATATGTATACATACAGTTTTACATATTTCACAAAAATTTTTGAATAAGACGAACGGTCAAACATGTGCTAAAAAATCAACGGTGTCAAATATTTAGAAAGGGAGGAAGTATTAATGTAATTGGCTGACTTTATTTATAGTGTTGGCTTTACATAGGAGCCAGCGGCAAGAACATGAAATTATGGAATTTACAATCGGTAATCCATCCTCATCTGTGTTGACAGAGGATATATGACCTTATCCGATAAGTGATCAATGATGTGAAAACTGGGCGAACGACTGTCACAGATGTCATACATCTTAGATGGGTTTCAATATTCATGGTTCAATTCACCCGTCACGGATAACTCATATGTGATGGGTTACAACCCAAACCGATTATTAAAGGTGACTCGGTCGTCGGTAATGAGCGTAGGCGTAGCCGTGAAGCCCAATCTTCACATTCTCGAGAAAAAAAAAAGGTCCAATCTTTGAATTTTTTTTTTGTCTGACACGGATGAATACCTGACAAATCGCCGGCCTCCGTCAGCCCGTCACAGATAATGTCTGGTTCTGTACTGTACTAGGTAAGAGATCATCTTCACCCAGCTTGGTCTGCATGCACTGAATCTGTAAATTAGTATCGCTTAATTTGGTCGAAGTACTACTACTGATGATCGATATGATGGTGATTAGACTAATAATAAAGCGTAGAACATCTCAATCCGTCGACAAGTCTAGCTTATATACGGAGTATATCCTTTAATTCAGTTGTGACTCCTGTATGGCTGTATCTACTGCATATGCATGCTCGCTAGCCAGTGGCAACTCGATCCAACTCGCTATCAGAAAATGATGGCTTTCGCGTCAAAAAAAAAAGAGAAAATGATGGCTTGATGACCATATATAATAACAAACTAATTACTAGTTGATCCATCTCGATCGCTATCGATCGACCGTGCCATGACCGCAATACAGTATTAGTTCTAGCTAGCTAGCTGCTCCTAAATAGTCATGAGATTAATCCGCTGATAGATTATTTTAGCTTATCGAATCTATGAGCTAAAGAAGGCCGAACCGAGATTGATATGAATAGCTTAATAATCTATCAGCATATATTTCTGTGGACTTTGGGCTTGAAAGACTGCCTTTTGCAAGGGATGGGCCGTGATGGATTTTATGGGTTTTAAGTTTGTGTAAACTTTAGCTCATTAATTTATGGGCCGCCTCCTGTGACAAGATAACAGGATTAAGCTAATAACTGGGCCTTTGGACCGTGGCTATATAGGGGCCGGCCTCATGGAGATGGCCCACACTGCTGCAGTAGCCCTTGAGCTTAAATTAGTCTATTGGCCCATTGGCCCAGCCCAAATGACCCTTTCATGCTCTTCTTCATGGATGAAAGTCCTTAGCTAAATGAACCCAAAGGAGCTTAACTATTATCTTGAGCGGTGAAGCTTCATGGATCATGGATGAGTTCGAAGGGTTTGTGGGTGTCTCCTAAGACATGTCTATTTTTCTAAATCATACTTTTGTAAAAAAAAATAGTTATAATTGCATGAGTTTTTTTTTAACACATACACGCATATGACACTTATATATACACCCTCACACTCACCTTTGCAAACACACGCGACTCCAATGAATATCTCTGACATATCTTGTTATTGATATAGTAATTTGCGCTTAAAGAATAATTAGTTACGAACACCTAATCAAATTTCCACAAGGAAGCTAATGATAGGTACGCTCATTTTTGCTGCGTGAAGTTATACTATTTTTTATGATCGATCCACCTAATTAATATTATTAGTTTTTGCATATCATACCTTTAAATCTTTACATATATTGATGACTCGAAATCTAAAGATTTGTTGTACTATTACTCGAAATATAAAGATTTGGAGAATAATGGAAGGATCACTCCTGCTCTTGATTGTACTTTCCGTGGGTGTACACCGGTACACCGTACACGTACGTACACGCTAGCTAGTCTGATGTGTCCTTTTGCGTGTTTTTGTTTCTGGATGTTTTTCAACATCATCATGCGACCGAAATGATAAGGAGTGAGAGTGCGTTTAGTTTCCAGAAAGTTTTTCTCAAAAACATTACATCGAATCTTTAAACACATGTATAAAGCATTAAATATAGATAAAAACAAAAACTATTTGTACAGTTAGGGGGGAAATTGCGAGACGAATCTTTTGAGCCTAATTAGTCTATGATTAGCCATAAGTGCTACAGTAATCTACATGTGCTAATGACGGATTAATTAGGCTCAAAAAATTCGTCTCGCGGCTTCCATATGAGTTATGAAATTAGTTTTTTCATTCGTGTCTGAAAATCCCTCCAGACATCCGGTCAAACATCCGATGTGACACCTAAAAATTTTCATTTCGCGAATTAAACTGGGCCTTACTAATTTGCATTGATTGACCGATCCACCGATGAGAACGGTCAGGTGTGCCAAAACATCCGGAAGGAACGAAAAGATCGAGACAACCAGGCAATGACACGTAGCGAACACTAGTAGCAGCACCCATTCGATGTGTCTAGTTACTTGAAAAAAAAGTTAAAAGTTTGAATAAAGTTAGGAGTTTGAAGAAAAGTTAAAAGTTTATATATGTAGGATAGTTTTTGATGTGATATAATGTGATGAAAAGTTAGGAATAGAGGTAAACTAAACAGTTCATATTCTGTACAGTTTGGGTACGTAGTACCTTGCATTGTCGACGGATCGGGGCTTCGTACGTCGTCGTCGGCAGTCGGCAGCCGGCAGTCTCGCTCTCAGTCTCAGGATCGATCTCTCTTTTCAGACAACTTTCGGCCTCCACTACGACACAACTTTCTGAAAAGATATCGAAAAGATATCAAATTAAGTAAAGGAAGCCAAGATATTTATGCTTAGCGCCCATCCGGCCCATACTATAGTATACACTCATCACTAACAAAGTTAAGTAGGTGCTACACTGCTACTACCACTAATTAAGAACACAAATTAGAACGCGTAATCAGCAACACCTTTCTTGACCTGCACTGCACTGAACTGAAGGAAAGCTAGCTAATGGCACCACACACTAGTATTTTTACAAGAAAGGCACTGTACAGTTATACAGTATTTGCCACACTACCCAACTCCACACCAACAAAGCAATATGCAGACAGACACGTGCAGGTGGGGCCGCCACCCAGAGACGCCTGTTCCACGTGACAAACTTCCCAAACTACCCCTGATCTGATCGCTAATTCGCTATGGTACCTCATGGCACCCCGCGTAATTAACCCGCAAAACCGAGCCTCTTCGTATACAACCTCGAAGGCAGGGCAGCGGCAGGGGCAGCACATGTCCCACGCCGCAAGGGATCCCTACAGGGCCCCACCCTCCACCACCGCACTCAACTCAACTCGTGTCCTTTTTCACGACGCGCACCGAAACGACACTCACTGGAGGGTGGGGACCGCCACCACCACGTGTCGCCGACCGCCTGCCACGTGGGCAGGGCGTCTCCCCCGCTACGCGCACCCAGGCGAAACGCACACGCCGTTTCGCCCGCCACACCGTCGCGTCGGGGTCGGTAATAACTAACCCGAGACAGGGAGAGAGACGAGACCGACCGACGCCGCGGGCTTAGTCCAGTGGAAGGTGTTCGTCCACTCGCGCTCGCACTCCCGCCGTTACGCGCGCGCGCGCCGCCGCCGCCCCGACCTCGCCGCGCGCGCCGACGAACCTAGATGCGGTGATGGGAAGAAGGGGCGCGGGCGCGGGCGCTGCGGTGGTGGTGGTCGCGGCCTTCGTGGCGGCGGCCGTGGCGTCGGGGGACACGCTCGCCGATCTCGGCGGCGCCGCCAAGGGGATCGACAGCGTGCCAGGTGCGTGGGCTTGAGCTGTTTTGCGGCGAGTGGTCCTGCGATTCGTCTCTCGTTCTATTCTATCTCTCCGTTGCGACTTGCGATCGATCGGTGGAGTGGAGTGGAGTGAGCGGAGGGGGATCGGATGAGTAGCTTAATTAGGTCGAGTTCATCCGTTTCAATCCATTTTGTTACTGATTGGAGCTGTGTTTTTTGGGTGGATTTCACCCTGCTGTTCAGGACCACTGCGCCGGTGCTACGTTTGTCCTGTCTAGTATCAGTATGTGCGCTTTTTTGTTCAGATATTACTAATTTTTTTCGTCGCCGTCTGCGAAACCATCAGCGTCTTAGGGTGATCTCATCTCATTCGATTTCTATATCGGATATGCTCTATTTTGTTCGGAGAATCAAGCCCAAATAAATCCGGCTTTTGTTTTGCTCAATTTCTGCATAAAAGAGCGGCTATTGTTCCGGAGGATTCGGCGGTGATTGCTCGTTCGTTCGGGCCATATTGCTTCCCCTTTACTGCGTTTGCCGGGTAGATCTCCTTCCGTCTGTTAGTTGATTTTTTAAACCCCGTAGTTCAGGGATGCTAATTTTGGTGATTCGCTTCCACTAGTAAAAATTCTCTCATCTCGTTTGGAACAAGTCAAACACTGGGTACCAGTATTTAATTATCATGTCGGTGCTCTAATCTGCGACGGCTACAATTCGGTCTTTACTTACACGTGAAGTCACAAGGTTCACACGAAGCATTTCTTCCTAGGGAGTGGTAGAACTTTCATCTTTCTGTGTAAAAGCGGCACTTTCGTTCACTGGTTCATGCGCAAACAGAATCTAGATTTTCGTAATTTATGCTTATAAATGTGAAGCTCGATGCTTTACTTATCGTACAAGATTACAACCAAGTGGCAATTTTCATTTGCTTCTTGCCTTGTACAAGCAAGCAGAACTTTGATGGTAGTTATGGTTAAATATTATCAGCTAGTAGTATTCTGGACTGGTACTAAACGGTTGTTTTTCTTCCTTTTTTGTGTGAACTGCTACTACAGAAGTGAATAACTTGGGACCATGGGCGAAGGGGCTTCTGAAAGGGATGCCGGACTCGGCGGCAGGGCCAGCAGAGGGCCCCATCGCAAAGTATCCGCTGGTTCTGGCAGAGGAGAGGACGCGGCGGCCGGATGTTCTTGACCACCTTAGGATGTATGGAGGAGGGTGGAACATCACTAACAAGCACTATTGGGCGGTATGTGTTGCTATCAAGAATTCAAGACACTAAAAGTTTTATACTCTTGAAGCTCTAGTTTATTAGAGATGTCATGATATGCAAGTAGACGATACTAGTATTTATGTTGGTTGTTGGAATATGATAGTATAGATCAGTACAGGCTATATATGAACTACAAATTCAGTCTGGACAATTTATTTCTACTTGTCCAAATACAGTAGCCAGTTACAGGACAACTTATAGACCATTCATGGATAAACTTACTTGATTCTTTTTTGTTTGGTTTTAAGGTATTTGTGAAATCCCCCCAAAAAAAATCTATGTAAAAACATTGAGAAATTTGCGGTAGTATGATATGACAGTGTTGTCTCACTTTCTTTGAACTGTGTAAATACTGTTTACAAGGTAATCTAAGGAGAACAGGAAAACACTGACTCTACAGTCGAAAAATGTATGGCATAGTTTGAAGTTAAACTGGCCTATGCCTTTAATTATGATTGAACTGTTATACTCTTCGTTCTGCTTAATGCCCATGTTCTGCCTACATCTTAGCTGAATCAAGTTTGTTTCAGTCTGTTTCATTCACAGGAATTGCTGGGTTTGTTCTTGCTGCTGGGTGGTTTATTTCGTTTGGAATTGCTGTAGCTGCAAGCTGCTTTTGGAAATCAAGAATAGACAAAGAAAATGATTTTCATGCAGATATACTGCGCCTTGTGTTGCTTGTGGTCTTCATATTTACTTTAACGTAATGTGCTAACTCTCTAATAATCATTTTTTCCTTTTCTTTTTGAGTTCATCTGATTGGGATATCGCTGGTTTAAATAGAGTTTTCTACTCCATGCCACTATTGAGTTCTAAGATGGCATAACTACTGGTTCTAATATCTACCAATGTTACATTTTGTACCAGGGCTGGATCTGTTATCCTCTTTTGTGGACAGAGTAAATTCGGACAAGAAGCTACTAGCACTGTCGATTTTGTTGTGAATCAATCTGATTTCACCATTCAGACGCTAAGGAATGTTACCGATTACTTATCGCTTGCAAAGACAATCAGTGTGGCAGCACTCTATCTTCCTTCAGATGTACAAGGGCAAATTGACAATTTGAAAGTGGACTTAAATAAAGCGGCTGATACTATATCCCAAAAGACATCAGAAAACTACAGAAGGATAAGAAAAGTTCTCCATAACTTGTACGTTTCAAACTATTCTTGCCATGTTTACCTCTGGTTTCTTGACTTTGAAAGTCACTGACTGAATAATAGTTCATGTGACTATATAGTATATTTATCTGTGGGCCTATATCTTTTCTTCAAAATGACGGCACTGTGTTGCTAAGAAGCGTAATCAAAATTCAAAATGGTTATTATGGCATTGCATTCATTTATGCTAGCACATTATTAGTAATGCTATGCCTTCAACTGAAAATTTGAATTCCTGTTTTACTACAGGTCAGTTGCTTTGATTTGCATAGCTGCGTTGATGCCTGTTCTTGCATTCTTGGGATATGGTAAGAATTTCATTCTGTTAGTCAAACTGATGCCCTTTTTGTTGGTTTTGTTATCTCAGATGTGTTAACACTCACTACTTGAACAACCTATTCCTCACATTTGCAGTTTTGGAGCTGTATGGACAAAGAAGTACAGTTTATGTGTAAGCTTTGTGGCCATGTACAAAGTACTGTGTATTAGAGTGGGCATGTTAGTGCAGTAATTTTTTACCACTTACTTTTTGAATTTTACAGATTTGTTACCTTATGCTGGACAGTAGTGGCAACTCTCTTCATTCTTCTAGGGATTTTCCTGATATTGAACAGGTATTATTAGGTTACGAATAGCCTTCTTTCCATGCGAAATAATTCTAGGAGGTCTTACAATTCTAATTTTCTCCTTGGTATGGAACCATGAATCAAACAGAACTTCTTTTACCGTGAATCAGGAGGTAAGCCCACAGTTTCATTAATTAAAAGTATAAGAGCTACAAACATATTTAGTAGAAACATTTTTGTAGAACTCAACGATGATGAATTTGCTTGTCGGTTGATATGTGCTATGTGTTCATTTGAAAAGAATGAATTTGCTTGCCATTTGATATGTCACCCATGTTCATATGCTATGAACCAGCATTGATAGTATCCCTCCCAAAACTAAATATGTTTTTATGAGGTTGCAATTCACTGTTTAGTATTAACAACATTATAATCTTTCTGCAACAGTGCTGCAAAGGATACCTGTGAAGCAATGGATGAATGGGCACAACATCCTCAAGCAGAGACAGCTCTCAGCAACATCCTTCCATGTGTAGATGAAAGCACAACCAATCAAACCTTGTACCAGAGTAAACATGTTGTGGTAATTCTTGTAGGCATAGTTAATAGGGCTATATCTGCTCTTTCAAATCGAAGGCCACATCATAAACATCCTGGGCAGTTCATGCCTTACCTGTGTTCTCCCTATGATGCGAACCTGACTGATCGGCAGTGCAAGTCTAGGGAGGTCACCTTCGATAATGCAACCACAGTAAGTTTTGGCATTGTTCTGTTACTAATTTCACAATTTGTTGGCTTCAATTGAAGTTTTTCTCTGATGCATGACTCTTGCTGATCTGGTTTATTTTAGGATTACTAGATGGGGTCATTTGTGAAGCTTTGCTTGATAACAAAATGATTTCTTCTTTTCAGGCATGGCTGAACTATACATGCACAGTTCCTGACTCAGATTTGTGCTCTGGCCCCAGAACCATAACTCCAGAGATATACAGTCAGCTTGTTTTAGCTGCCAATGTAAGCTATGCTCTGTACCATTATGCCCCTCTCATGCTCAATCTCCAGGACTGCAAGTTCGTCCGCAACACATTCAGCTCCATCGCTTCGCAGTACTGCCCTCCTATATGGCGCGACCTCAGCTTGGTCTCAGCAGGCCTGGCTCTCATTGCCTCTGGCTTAACACTTGGCCTCCTCTTGATGCTTTTTGCGGACCGCCCCCAAAGGGAGGAGGTGTCCGAGCTGCCATCAGGGTCAAGGATCACCCCAGTAGACTGCTCTCCATGACGAGCTCAGTCTCTATGGTCATTCAGACTAGTATAGCAATTGCCTGTAATAGTTAGGAAAAGAAGAAGGTGAAGCACTGGGGCAAAGCCCCATTTTGCAGTGGAGATGATCTAGGTGGATGAGTGCTTCCTTCCGTGGTATACATGGTATGTTTCAGGGAATAGTTGTAAAGGCTAATGCCTAATGGCAAACAAAATTTGGGCAAAACCCCACTATGATATGAAGAGCAATGTTCTGTATCCCCTATGATTGTTCAGCTGGACATGTTTCTTTCTTATGTACATGTCTTGTTCTGTGTGTTTCCATATTCTGTTGGTGGGGGGGACATTCCTTGTACACTAGATCAGCCTGATGTCTATGCTGGAGGTTGGAACAGATTTTGCAACCATGTCAATTGATGCAGTTGAGCAAGCGGGAGGTTTTCAGAAAAAAAAATGCACAATTTTCAGCTCTGGTCGTAAGGGTTGTACTTGCACAGCAGTAAACTTACAGCAATTCTAATGTCCTTTTTTTAAAAAATAATAATAATAATGGTTACATCTTCGGCCTCTGTTAGCAGGCGCACAACCAAATTCGGATGTCCTTTTGTCGTAATATTACTAGTATTTGCTTCATTGCTTGTGAAGAACTGAAGAGAAGAGAGGAGTGGGTCAACTTTTCCTTTTCCTAATTTGATTTTGGTTTTGGGTTCCAATCTTCTTGGCCGTTCAATGTCAAAAGTAATTTGGTAAAATTTCAGTTGGGAACATCACTTTAGCTTGACATACAATCATTCTATTTGTGACTATCTAGGTCCTGCCCTTTCTCTAGGATACAGACAGCAAATCCATGGAAAGGTTCTCCGGAAAAGCATATTCAGAAAAGATCAGACAAAAAGGAAAACTCTCCAATTCACTTCAGCTCCAAGCTAGAACACCTTTACTACCATTTTTCACCTTACCTCTCCTCTAGTTGTGAAAAGTATTTACATGATCTGAATTCTGACGAGCACCATGTCTGGGTTTTCACACCCGTGTGTTGCAAGATTTCAAGTTGCAGAAGTTGTTGGAATTCTGCATCATTGTATTAGTAAAAAAGCTTCAGCGCTGCATAATTAGGATTCTAGTTGTAGTTGTGTTGGCAGGTAACCACTTTGGCTTGACGAACGCACTTGGGTGATGTTTGCTCACTTGCTGGGAAACCATGATGGCTCTGTTTATTCTGTTCTGACCTGACAAGCTACCGTGTACAGTACACAGGGCTGTGTTACCATTTTTGAGCGATTTTGATCAGTTAAAATTGATTAAACTTAGTTTGTATGTAATGATGTGCAGTTTGTATGTAATTAGATTATCATTTTTCTGATTCCACAGCTAATCCATTAGACGATCGATCTGCAGCAGTGTAACTAACAACAATAAAATAGTAAACAAGCTTGTTCTGCCTTTTGTGCAACAATGTTAACAAACATACTCTTCCGATCCGTTCAGTGTTTTGTGCTGGAGTGGAGCTTCAGTATGAATTACGAGTCCAAGATGACCCTTGTAAAACCAGACAAAACTCGATGGCTCGTTTGCCAACCCAGCTGCTGCAAAAGTGATACTGGACGTTGACCTGCAGTGATAAAAACGAAATTAAAAAGAACGTCATATGTTGAGATATACTGCTCCCTCCATCCCAAAATATTTGACGTCGTTGACTTTTTAAAAAATGTTTGACCGTTCGTCTTATTCAAAAAATTTAAGTAATTATTAATTTTTTTCCTATTATTTGATTTATTGTTAAATATACTTTTACGTCTACAAATGGTTTTACATATTTCACAAAAGTTTTTGAATAAGACGAGCGGTCAAATATGTTTAAAAAAATCAACGGCGTTAAACATTTAGGGAAGAGGGGAGTAGTATAATGCAGGTTTTGATTGGCTTCGATCACTGCTGACTGCTGAGATGTTCGGTTTCAGTACACAATGAAGAGGGCATAGCACAGATCATGTGTATTCTGCAGTGTTTTCTGATTCTTCCTGATTACTGATTTTTCATGCAAGAGAAGAACAATCGATGCAATCCCAGGCTAGCTGCTGCTGCTTGAACGTTTTGGCTTATGATCTGTATCTTCAATGCAGTCAGTCTTATGTTGTCCAGCTACGATGATTTATTTGGCCACTCCATTACAGGGTAAAATATATGCTGCTAATCAGGGACTGACAATAGCAAAGGATTTCAGAATCGTAACTGGAACAAAAGAAAAAAAAAAGGAGTATAACCCTGCAGCTGTAGTATTCTGAAGCCCGAAGATTTGGACGGTGAAAAGAGTAATTCTTCTTACAGTTGTGTCGGACACTGGTGCAAGTTCTAATCCTAAAGATATATACCAGTTTTTGAATCCTCCGCTAATTAATCTCCTTGTACAATTCTCATCTGAACTCTGAAATGATATCAGTGTTGGAATCAAGGCCAAACAACCTCTTGTAAAAACAAGCAGAAATTCATGATGAGACACATCTGAGTTCTTCGACGCTACAGTATCTTGTCAGAGGGCGCGGGGGTTGAGAGATTTTGACAACTTGACCCTTTGCAAAAACTATTTTTACAAATGAACCGCCGCCAAAACTTATTTCAAAACTAACCCTTTTGTTCAGCGCTAAATCGTGTGGCGCTGAATTTAGACACCTCGGCGCCAAATAGCATGGCGCTGAATGTATGTTGGCATGCTGACTTAGCCTCCCATCCACGGTGGTACGGCATTCAGCGCCAGTTGACATGGCGCTGAGGTGTTGTTAATGACCAAAATTTGTAAGATATAAACCAGGTTCAGTGCTGGAATCGAAGCGGATTCGGCGAGGAGTTAGATTCGAAGAACAGAGTATGCATCGGCTGGAGTCTGCATCGGCTAAGATGGATCGGACAGAGGACAGCCGATTTTCTTAAAGACGGTTGTGAGACTACTTCTAGAATCGATCGACGTGCTTAACAAGGATTGCCACGATAGAGATAAGCTCTCAAATAAGCAATTGTATCTATTAATTATGATATTTTATGTAATTTCCTTAGACATATGTTTGGGCAAAAGTCTGTCGTAAAGATTTTGTGTATCTTAGAGTTTGTTAGATAGAAGACTCGTGTCCGGTAAGGACATATTATGTATCTCGGGTATAAATATTACCCGAACCTTTGTAATCAGACAACATCGGTTCAATAACACTTTCGGCGCATCGCCACCCTTTTTTACTTTCGTTCTATTTCGACGAGTTCTTACTTTCGGGTTGAGCTGCATCAATTCGATCTTCAACTAGAGGTAAATTTGTCATGGCGGTCTGCATTCTCGGGATTAGTGCTTCCATCTTTATGACACTCTAATCTTGTTCGTGTAATTCGTCGAGTTATCGTATATACTTTATAGTCTCTGTTAGTTACACTATATAACTTGCGATCGGTTGGTTTTTACTGTTAGAAAGTACCTGATAGAGTTAGATCTCGTTGTTAATTTAGATTATATCGTATATCTACCATCTTTTAGAGATTTTTATTATCTTGTTTAGATTTTACCGTTATCTCTATGCTTAATGCTGCATCGGTTGGGTTCGATCTATTAAGTTCTATCTATAATTGTAATATCTAGCCTGTTCCATGATCATCAATAGAGATAGTGTCGGAGTTTAAGCCGATCTTAACTGATTTAGCTATTTTATCTCATATGTTTGGTTGTTATGCTAAATCTGCCCTTTATATTAAGATCTTATCGCATTAGAGTATATTAGGCTTCTCGTTTAATATATTTTGCTTGTTTTAATATCTTGGTATAAAGTTGTATCGGAGTATTAACCGATACATGCTGGATTTATCTGATCGGCTATGCTATAAACGTTTATATAATTATTACTTTAGTATATATTTTGACTTAAGTGATTTATACTGTCTCGGCATGACGACCGATCTATCCCAATCACTTAGTTTAAATATGTATCGAAGTAAAGATTATATGTTGTTAATATTTACAGCCGATCAAGTAGATTTAGTTCTATTTTATTCAGTCATTATCGCCGATCGATTATAATATGACATCGGCAATTAGCCGATCGGCTATCGTTTATAGATTTAACTGCGGTTTTCTTGTCTTTCTTTCTTATTGATTGTAGGATCAAATCAACTAGCACACTCTCGAACCTAAAAGTAAGATTTTGGACTTAAAAGCAAGATTTTGAACCTGCACAGGAGTTAAGAAGATCTTCTAGGCCATTGTGTGTTTTTCGCATCAACGGGTGTCTAATTTCAACGCCACATGATTTGGAGGATCATTTTTGAAATAAGTTTTTGCGGTAGTTCATTTGTAAAATTATTTTTTTCAAAGGGTCAAATTGTCAAAAATTGTGCCCGGTTCGGACTTCGGAGAATAATGCCCCGTACCCTGCTGAGTTGACAGGAACCGTTGGATCAAGAACGTGCGGTCAAGATGGGTCGGAGGCGGAGGCCACGCGGGGGTTCGGAGAGTTATTCTCCGACCCCTGTTGGGCTCACGGAAACCGTTGGATCAAGATCGTGAGGCCAAATAATCAAGCGGGCAGAGTCCAGCAAGCACAATATATCTAGAAATAAAGTCCATAGCTTTACTTAAATCAGGATTAGATTATCGTTTTCTGATTCCACAGGCAATTCATTAGCCGATCGATCTGGCATCTGGCAGGCGAACAGTGGAGTTCCAGTATGAATTTGCGAGTCCTCGTTGACCCTTGTAAAATCAGAAAAAACTTGATGCTAGTTTGCCAAACCAACTGCTGCAAATGATACTGGACGTTGACCTGCAGTAAAAACTAAATTAAAGAGAACAGTATCGATTGTTCAGATACTACATAATGCAGGGTTTGACCTGCAGCCATCCTGGGGCCTCTAGACCTCTTCCTTTGGAGACATTCATGGGGGCTGATTGGATTGAATCCGTGATGAGATTCAGATCATGTGGCAGACACGAGTGTGTGACATCTGCTGTGCGTTCTCATCTCTGATTAATTGCTGTTTCTCCATTCAACAGAAGAACAGTCGATGCAATCCCAAGCTAGCTGCTTCATGAATGATCTATCCAGCGTAAGTAACGTAGCCATCATGTATATGCATGTGAATATATGTAGGATGTAATGTATTTTGGCGTTCGCTTCCATATACCGTATGTCTCCCATTACCAGGATAGTAGACATACTGTGGATACAGGATGCCTGCCTCCTGCAGTATAATGTTTTTATCCCCAGTGTATGGCTGTATGCACATATGACGTCTGACGCTTGCCTGAATTCTTCACTGCAGTCTTACGTTGGTATCTGTATGTTGTTCATCTTACGATGATTTGGCCACTCCATTTTCAGGGTATCAATGTTGCTAATCAGGGCCTGACAGTCGCAAAGTAATTAAGAGTCGTACCATGTAGTACTCTGAAGCCTGAAGATTTGAATAGTCAAGCGAATACTTATTACAGGTTTGTCTGAAAGAATGGGGCGCTACTGGTAGTTCTAATCCTTTTCTGCTGTGCACATCGCCCAAAAATCTGCTGATTCGAAAGAGACGCTGATGCTATTTATACGATGAGGCTGCATCGTAATGATAAGCCTGCAGGCTTAAAAGGGAGCACCTAATCGATCTTCAAGCTTCCATCAAAGCAAGCTGCCTAACCATACTTTACTGCATATAGTATTCATCGTGTCAGTGTGTGTAGCTCAACAGTAATACAACCATACGCATGCAAAGTGTAGTCCTCAAAGAAGAAAAAAAAAAAGGCTGCGGTTCAAAGCTAGTAATGCTTCAGTCTGAACTGCATGCACACGATGGCCACTGAGTTAGACTGTTAGTTTGTTATGTGTTTTGGCATGTGTGATATCTCTCTCCCGTTATCTCTACCGATTATGTTTTTATAAGTCGGTTGAATAGATAAGGGAAGGATGTCTATACATGTACTTTGCATTACTGAGATCAATCTATTGCATTGAGTCTATCTCGCTCTCATAGACAAGTACATACAACATGTCATGTTTTATGGAAACAAAATTCAAAGCAAAAGGACAAAAAAAAAATGGCAAAGTTTAACCCATAACTTCATCTACGAGACTCTGCGACGTATTTTTGGTTTTCATTTTGTAGGATATCAAAGGTTTGGCATGTCAGGGTTAACTTCAGACAAAATTTAGTTAGGCTACCTAGCTACTGTGTGGTCCTCTCCTTGTATCAAAAGATACTTCTCTATCTGTCTTACATAAGATCTCATCACAAATTTATTTATTGTGCCAAAGTGAGGACTAAACAAAAACAGGTGCAACAAATTCACACTACCATTTAAAACTTCACACATGCTTTAATACCCTTTGTTTATAAGAAGTTAGGAGAACATCTTTTATTCTGACAAAATTCAGAACTTGGGGGAAAAGATGCAAAGGTCATTACTATTGGTGTTCAACAGGTGTGTTTGTTGTGACTAAGAGAATTAGGCAAATATAGGTCAACAAAGACAGATGATGCACACCTAATCAACTGGGTTTCATTTGCATGATTCCTGACGGAAGCACTTCAGATGTGAGACAGATCGCTTGGTTTATGGGGTTCACCAACCCAACTCTAACCAAAGTACCAAACAAATAAGTAGTGTAAACTATACTAGTTTAGAAATGGGCCTCTTTTTGGGTCATCTCCATTGACCAAAGTTGAGAAAAATGAATATGGTTTGGCACATTTCAGACAAAATTCTGAGAGAGTTGGTGATGGACTTGACAAGTCTGATACTACTTTTTTCTTAGCTTTCACAAGGACATAGTTATTAATTTGGTCCAATAGCCAGTGCTCAAATACTAGAGCTCTACAAGAGCACAAGATGTCAAGATGTAGTAGCTTCATATAATTACATTCAGCAGCAGAAGACAACATCATCTCACCCCAAGAAGAACAAGAGGAAAAGACAGTAGAAGATAGGCATTGCCAAAACAATCATTCAAGATGGGGAAGACCTGAAATTGAATTGTCAATTCAAACACCTGCTGGACTGGTCATCAAATTATCTTTCCCTCGTTTGCTTGTTGTCAAGTTGCTGTACAGTGATTCTCTCAAGTAGAGAAAAGGCATGTAGATCATCTCTGTGGCAGAAAAAGGTCGAAATGCAAAAGGGATTTAGGTCAAATCTTTATTTTGCAAATGGTGACATAAGCTGTGGCTTTGAAGTGAAGTGAACCACTGCACACTGCCTAGTTGGACCAGCCCCAACTGTAGCTAAAGACAATTTCTAAGGATATTTGTTTTGTTTTGAACAAAGTATTATTATTGTTTTATCAAGTAAACGTGCATTATTCAAAGAGATATAGTAGTAACGAATTATTAATCTGTAGATTTTTGGAACTTAACTATAACTCCAAAATCTTGTATGATATTATTATATATGTCCTATGTTCTATAAAGAAACAATTTTTAAAGATGATATAATCTTTAGAGTCTGTTTGACATGACTCCATCTCCAACTCCACCTTTTCTTGGAATTGGACCAAACAGTTTCAACTCCACCTAAAATGGAAGTAAAGCTAGGTGGAGCGTTCTCACAAAATGAACTGAGAAGTAGAGCTGGGTTTAGACTGTTGCACGATTCTACTCTGTACATAACTCCTACAATTAAATTTAGGAGGTGAAACTCTACAAAACGGACCCTTAGAATTAGTTTTCATTTTTTCTTGGAATAAAGAGGGTATTGTATAAACTCTGCCTCACAGACTTGAATTTCCTATAGCAATCGATTATTTCTTCTCACTAATTAGGATTTTAAAAAAAAATCATTGCTTAGTACAACATCCAGTATCTTTTTTTTAAAAAAATAAGAAAATAATAAGTGCAAGAGAGAATTTCGCGCCTACTTCTTCCTAGTCCTAAGGAAGAGGAGCTAATATACAGCACAGTGGCCATCAGAGGGGTAGCCACGTAATTTTGACAGGCTGCTCTTGCAGTTAGTGGTGGGCCACCCACCTCACAAGGAATCCGTATTCCTCTCGAGCTTTGCGTTCTTGCAAGCAGGTACTCCGTATACACAGAATCTTTCATCAGGCTAATCATCATAGCGATTACCAAGCTTGGTTTACATCTCAGTAATGTGTGGTGTCTCCAATTTTTTGTTTCTATCTTTTGGACAGGAAGATTTCAGCATGTCGTTGGAGTCGTTGTACAGGCTGAATATCTTTACTGATGAGAAACTTCTGATCAGCTTGTGCCAGTAAGAAGTGTATGCATGTGTAGATAAATAGAGATTGACTTTTATCAGTTTAAGATAAGATAACATCTGTTCTAGAAGAAGACTACTAGTAGAACATATTACAGGGGCAGACGGTGGCATTATTGTATCATTATTGCCAAGACATGTAGTACTAATGACTTTTACTAGTACAACAGGTATGCCATGTTGCAAGGCAGCATTCTGAATACCTGAAGTAAGGCTTTGTCATTAGTAGTAATAGAGATTATCTTTTCTCTACTCAATTCCTAGCTCAAAGCAGTTAATAGTAATAGTTAGTAAACAGTAACTCCACTGATTTCTGAGCACCATGTACTAGAAAAGAAAAGGAGAGCCTTTACTACAAAGCTCCAGAAAATGGAGAGAGCCTTTGGGAAAGTGAGAAGGAATCAGGGAGAGGAGGCTATTCCAAAGAAAGAAAGAAACATGCAAAAGAGCAGTATCAGTGAAGTTGTTGTTTGGTGATACTTATTCCCCTCTCTCTTTCTTTGCCTCTCTTCTAATTTAAATTTGAGGGAAGAAGGAGGAGGAGTTGAAGGTGAGGTGAGCTAGAGTGTTCTTCCTTGGCTTGGCCTCCATTGTTACATCCCCCTCCACTCCATCTCTTGCTTCCCTTAACCCCTCCCCCAAAAATCCCCCCCCCCCCCCCTTGCCTTAACCCCAACCCCAAATCCATCCTTCCAAGCTTCAACCTTCTCTGGAGCTTTGCTGTTGATACCTGGACAAGGTAAAGATTTGCCCCTTTTTTTATTTGCTTGTTGTTGTTTTTAGTTTGCTATTAAGCCGCCAGACCATTGGAAACAGCAACTTCGCCTTCCTTCTGTGTTTCCTGCATCTCTTATCTCTCTTGGTGAGTTCTTGGTTTTGGCTGTTGAATTGTTCTCTTGTTTTTCTTTTTAATCTTCTTGGTGGTGTTTTCATGGCGTTTCTTTGATTCAGCACTACTTTCTTGGTACTGTAAAATGCTAGTAGCAACCACCCTCTTGTTCTAGCTCTCATCGATTAGTAAACTTGTTTCCCTTCCATTCGATGAAAGCCATTTTCATCCAATCCATCATGTTATGCTCAGAAACCAGAATGTGTAGGTTTTGCCTGTTCTTGGTGCAATTGCTGCTCGGGCCAACTTTGTCCATCGGCTAGCAGATAATTCCAGTTACTAAGTAACTCCCCATCTCTTGCGGTTATTATCATCACGGAGCAATCGGTTCCTGTCAGTTCTTACCAAAATCCAAAAGTCAGCGGTTGCATTTCATCCCCCTCCTGCAACACACATACCTGACGAACTCCTCCTTGGATTCTTGGTGTTCTCCTCGGCCATTACACTGTTTTTTTTTTCTCTTAGGAGCATAGATTGTAGCAAGAATTGTTTCAGGCTGCGCAGATTGCGATGACTGAACCATGGAGTGCGTTGTTTGCAGGATTAATGGGCGACCATCTGGCATTGCTTGTGGATCGGCTGCTGACGGAGTCGACGCTGGACGCGGCAATCAGGAAGCAGGTGGCCGATCTGCAGGCGGAGACGGTGGCGATCGACTACTGCTGCGACGGCGACGGCGATGGCGGCTCGGCGAGGAAGATGGTGGAGTGCAGGATTTGCCAAGAGGAGGATTGGGATACCAGCATGGAGGCACCCTGTGCTTGCTGTGGCAGCCTCAAGGTTATGGCTTTTCCTTGGCTTTGTGAATTGTTTATTCTGTAATTCTGATTTGTTACCGTTATGAAAAATATATCCTTTTTTCAGATGGAAAATTTGGTCTTTTGGTCTCCACTTTTAGTGGGAGAAGATAAATTAGTTAATTGGTGTCCATGGTTTTCTTTGTGGTCACTTTAGATTTCTAGTTCTAGAGGAGTAGTTCACTAGTTATTTTAGATAATAGTAGTTCACTAGTTGACTTAGGATGAAAATTGTTGACATTTATGGTTGGGGTTAGCTGCAGTAGGTTCACTTGGTTGTGTACTATCATACATGCTAATTAAGTATGCGAAAAAGGTCAATCCTGGATTTAAGAAAAGTTGTTATGAAAAATCAGCTGCATTTGCCTCGATGTAACTTGGAAGTCACTGCCTCGTATTGGCCTTCCTATTTGATAGTGATGTTGCTGAGAAACAAAACAAAATAAGGTGTTGGTGTTCTTTCGAAGTAAGGGAAATGGAGGAGGCTATCTGTGACCTTCAAGCAATGAGTGGGGCAACTACCCACATTATCTAGCAAGGTCAAATGTAGTTGAAAGTTCAGTAAAACATTCTGAATTCGGTGCTGTTTGTTGCTTCTTGTTCTAGCAAATGATACTGTAATATAATGAATGTATTTCAGTTGGTTATGCAGGTGAATTTTTGCAAGATATTAAATTCTTAGCTTCTCCCTTGCAGTATGCGCACCGGAAATGCATTCAGCGTTGGTGCAATGAGAAAGGCGACACCGTTTGCGAAATATGTTTGCAGGTAAAATCATCTTGGTTCAACTATGCATTCTTTGTAGCCTTGTGGAACTGTTTATAGTACAGACAAATGTGTTTGATAGCGATACGATTTGAGGACATATAAAACTGTTCAAGCATGCATGGGCTAATCCTCTGATGTGATATCTCTTTCTGCAGCAATTCAAGCCTGGTTATACTGCCCCACAGCAACTGTTTCACTATGGAAGTATACCGATGAACTTCAGGTACTCTCTTGGGGATCCTAAGTGATAATTGGTTGCTGTGCCTGACTAGTCAGCATCTGTAAATTCTTACATTTTTCTTCTGTTTCTTTCCCTGATCCCTCTACAGAGGAAATTGGGAGATTGCTAGGCAAGATCTCCATGATTCCCAGATAATAACAATGGTGCCATCGGAGCGCGACTTCATGGATGGTTATGAGGACTACTTACCCATTAGGACGAGAAGCAGCACCCTGTGTTGCCGAACAGTCGCCATAATTGTGAGATTCCTTGCATCTGGATAGATAAATATCCTTTAATGACAATTATCTATCACCCAGTTCAATCCTGGCTAATTCTTGTGTTTCCTTTCTGATGGAATTCTGTCCCTGTGATTGAATAGTTCATGTCACTCCTGGTTCTTCGCCACACTCTTCCTCTTATGATTGGTGGGGATGGGGAGTACTCGTTGGCCTTATTCTCGGTAAGATCGATGTCCAAATTGAGTTTAGATCATCACTGCAAAAAAGAATTATCACACTTATCTTGAAGATCAAGCTCCTGACTGAGTGTCTGTACTTCTGATGGGGGTAAAAGCTTCTTGTCTTGAGGACCGCCGGAATCCTATTTCCAATCTTGGTCATGGTGAGAGCATTGGCAACCTTCCATCGTCGTCGTCGCCAGCAGGTAATTCCATCACTGCATGATCTGCCATTGTTGGAGCCTCCTCAGGTGCAGTGAAATGCAGTCCTAATCCTGCTCAGTTAGCTTGAGCAGGTCTACACCTGAGCAGAGTCCTCCATCTTAACCATTCATAGTATATGCTACAATCTTCCTTGGCTGGATCATAACTCTGGGATCTAGATCACTTAACCCTGCAGGAAAGACGGGAAATGTATATGACTTCGTCAGACAGCGAAGAGGAGGAGGATTATTCAGATACCGATCCTGCACAGCCAATTCATTCTCAGACACGCCTGGTACCAATCTACTGACACGATCAAGAACGATGCCAAAAAAATTCAAAAAAAGAAGAAAAAAAGAAGAGGAAGGTGACCATATGTGACATAGTAAATGAAGATAGTTTGAAGCCACTCGCTTCAAGGTGCCCTTGCAAGAATGTAGTGGCTCTGTACATATGAGAAAGGAACAGATCGCTAACTAACCCAAGATGCTGTAACTTGAGCTTCTCTAGTACTGCAAGCAAGTTCAGCTACCCACTATAAGTATTGAAAAGGTTGTTATTATTCAGATTACTTGCAAATGGAAGGAAATACACGTCGTTTTCTGGATCCATCCACTTGCATTTTTCATTTTACAATCGCAATCATTTTCGTCTATAACAGTAGAGCCAGAATGGCAATTAGGCATTCCATGGCTATCATCAACTCAGATCGTCAACCCATGTACGTTATTGCCTGATCGATTGGTGAATTGTTGATTCAGCTTTCATAGCACAGAGTTCTGCATATCTGATGTAATAGTGTTGCTTGTCACGCTTTCAAAAGAGTACATCCATCAAGAATTCAAGACATAACAAAGCAACGTTACAACTGAATAACCTATCTGGCAAAGTAGACTATCACCCGAAGAGAACTAGGGTAAAGGGGATACACACTGGGATGGCAAAGTTAGGGAGAAAAAGAGAGAGCATACATATATGTTTCAGCTATGCGAGAAAGCAACGGTCGTGATGCAGGAACTATCCACGATGGGGTACGTTTGGACATGGTCGATGTACTTGAACACCGCAGTATCACTGGCCTGCGCACCTTCGGAGCCCATAGCACTGAGCTTTCTCTGGTTGAAGCTCTCTACCTCCTGGACCAACTCATCCTTGGTTCTGCTACATGATGTGATGACCTAAACACATGTGAAAGTAGCATCAGAGGCTTGACACATTCTTTGTCCTAAGCCATCTTCACATACATGGCTTTCAAATAGTTACTGTAATGGTGAAACCATGTAGATTACACAGGATTATTAAAAGTTAAACAGAACATCATATGTAGATATTAAATTGGTAATTTCCGTAGGTAGAATATGTAAAGCAAATAGTTTCACCACAGTAAACTGTTCGAATTTTGTTGCAAGTGAGCCACCATGCAACACAAAGATATTTGGGTTGAATGTGGTGGAAGTACTGACCAGTATGCCACCAGGAGAAACCAGCCCTGCAACCGACTGCCAATACATCATTCTGAAATGGAGTAAATTGAAAATAGTTTAACACATGGAAACCAACAAGCAGTGTGATCCATGCCAGTTTAAACAACCTAAGCAATTGAGAGTACCAAGTCACTCCTAAATATTATGCGGTGTATCAAAATTTATGATAATTTACCATGAGGGATTAAAGCATACATCAACAGCTTCGCACGCATTACCTCTTTACAGGTCCATCGGGGTGCAACCCAATCGTGTCCAGAGTTCCTTCATCCATCACAAGTTCAAATCTCCTCTCCAACTTTGACTCTAACACATCATCAACCTGCAAGAGCAAGATTCATGTAAGCTGAATCAGCTCTTTCCTCCTCTTTCCGCTTTAAAGCTCTTTGTTCAAGGGAGTTGATAATTAGCTGTACAACCTTGAAAGATGTTGTTTTGGTATCTAAGATACAACCAGAAGGTCATGGATGTGCACATTATACGTTAAAGCAAAATAAGAACATGAAATTGTGAAGCATACAGATACAGGCATATGCACCAAATGGTCCAGTGCTCAACTCACCAAGAAATTAATGTGCTCAAACCCATCACGGATAGCAAGATTACGAGCAACCTCAATTGCACCTTCACTGTGGTCGATCCCAGTCAGATCAGAGAACCTGTATATGGACATATCAGTACTGTCAAGAGGCATTAACAATTCAACAGAGTGAAATACATAGTTGAATGTCTCCTAATTTATAAAAATACTCCAAGTCAATAGAGATGTTTCTCCCAATCTACAAAACATATAGCTATTCGAGAAAAAGAAAACATGAGACTGTGCTAGCATGATCCTTTGCTTAACAGCAAACCAGATGCAGCTTCCAAGAATAATTATCAAAGGGCATCTCCCTTCAATTTACAAAGATGGCCAGATTTTAAGCATGTGATAGAAAGACCATTGGGAAATTGATAGGTCTGCTTAACTAAATCAATTATACTTGCCTTATGGTACCAAACTTTACAACTCCAAATTCATACTCTAATTATATAGAAGGAACACAAACACAAGAGAGAAGGAGCACAAACGCAAGAGCAAAAGAATAGACAATAAGTCTATTTCAGGGCTGTCAGAAAACGTTAAGAAAGGCATCTCAACACCAATACATTGAAGTTGACAACAATAACAGCATTCACATTAAAGTAACCTTTGGTTGGAGAAATGCAAATGGAAGATTGCCATTTCATCAACATACCCTTGCTTTGCAAGCTGTTGCGAGAGTCGACCGCTCCCAGTTCCTATGTCGAGTACACTGCAGCTACGCAAATCCTTGTTGGAACATAAGTTTTTCGTCCAGCTTACGAGGACATCCATGTTCTCCGTGCCAAACCTACATGCATACAAGTTAGACTTTCATCATAACCAGCGATATAATGATTGAAGCAGAAAATGAAGATTTTCTGCCTTTTTACCCTTAAAATGGAACATTGCTGCAAAAAAAAAAGTAGTCCATCCATAGTAGCTAGTAGATAGGGAAAAGACAAGTCTAAAAGTTCTGAATTTAATTTGGCCAATGGGCAGTGGGAACCAGGCAACCTTAGCTAGAAGACAACACTCGATAGGCATTGGCTGTTATCGAAACTACATGTTGGTAGATATTACTATAATGCTAACGTGTTTTGCATTCCCTAGTGAGGCAATAACTTAGTTATGTTCCTTGTTATTCCCATCATGTTGTGAACAAAGCTACAACAAAAATTCGATGAGGAGATCTACACTCTATCCATATGTGCACAGCAGGTGAAGAGAAGAATCTGACCAGTCATCTGTGTGGCTCCGTTCTTGAAAATTAGCAAGGTATTCTGCATAAGAACCATCCTGATGATAATTCGGCAGGCCCAGCAACGGCGGCTCCATATCGGCGGAGTCTGGCACGTCCTTGTCAAAGCTGTTCGACATTCACAACGCCGAGTCAGGTAAGCATACCAAAAATGATCATCTCTTGAGGACTAAAATGTAATTACCGAGAGATCGTTGGACTAAATCGCATGATACAGCGCGACAGAACGCCCCCCTCTTCTTCCCCCCAACACAAGGAAATCAGATCACGGGCACAACAAAGCAATTAAACCGTAGAAACGGATCGCTCTTAACCTGAAATCTCCGGAGGGGTTGGCGGCGACCGACGCCGTCGTGGCGGCGGCGGGGCCGGAGGCGGCGGCGGAGGAGGAGGAGGAGGAGGCGAGGAGGACCTCGGCGGCGTCGGCGTACCGCTGCTCGTCGTCGAGGGTGCTCCCGTAGTCGCTCTTGATGGACCACGAGTCCGCCGCCACCGACCGGTCGTCGTCGGAGGCCATCTCCCCCGGGGGCCCGGGGGGTCCTCCTCCCGCGCCCCCGCCGCCGCCGCCGGTCACCATCCTCGACGGGAAGATCTCCGGGTCCTCGGGCGGCCACCGTATCCCCGCCATGCCGCGCGCGCCCGACCTCAAACCCTAGCCCTAGCCCTAGCCCGGCCGCTGCGTCGCGTCGCAATTTGTTCGCGTCGTCGCGGAGGACGACGAAAAGTCGACGAGTGAATGAATGATGCGAGGGGTGGGGGCTTGGAAGAAGGGTCAATGACAGGTGGGGCCCTGGCTCGATTGGCCCACGTGTCGGTGTGAGAGCCGATTGGGATTTGCAGCGGGGACCGAGGAGAAGCGTCGGGTGGGCGGGAATTGGTCGCTGATTTGTGGGACCAACTAAGGATGGGGACCATGTGACAGTGGGACCAGGTAAGGTATAACGGTGCAGGCCGGATTTCGCGGGAAGCGTCGGCTGTTGATCGGAAGGAAGGCCGTTGGTCGTTGGGGCTTGGGCTGATTTTTTATTAGTGGACCGGGCCGAGTTTTAAGGTTAGATCGTTCATTAATAAGCCGTGAAAAAGATAATATAAACGAATTAATTAAAACATAATTTATGGGTTAAAATTTTATATTTACGTTCCTTTTTTAGAGGGTTATATTTATGTTCTTTAGTGATTTTAAAAGCTAATGCTAAAAATAAACTACGATAAAAAATCACACCATCAACCCTGAAATTAAGTTTTAAATTTTAAATTTTTGTTGCGCCTGATAAGCCAAAAGACAAACTATGAGAGCCTTAAGAATGAGTAAAAATCATCATGGATCCGCCGGAAATTTCAAAGTCGTCCGACGAAATTGTCCCCGTTTCAAATACGGCAGTTTGGAATTTACCAAATCAAAGCAGAAACTATCTGAAAAATCTACACCCAGAGGCCCTTCCTCTGAATTGACTGAAAATTCTAATACTAATTAATTAGCTCTGATTTTTTTCTACATGATCACAGAGAGCTAGTATACAATGCACTGGCATATCTAATGATATCTCATTGTTTGCTTGAAAGAAACATGGTGTGGTGCATGCAAATAAAAGGGGCCCTTGAAACTTGCTCCCTCCCTTTGTTGTTTTCCCTGCAAGTTGCTCCTATGTACAGCTGATGCCCGGTCACACACAGAGATTATCTGTGAGTATCCTGCAGGTGCAGAGTAGCATACAGCTCCAACTCCCTCTTCATATACAGCATATCACCTTGTTCTCTACAGCCTGTGTGCCGGCTGCTCAGCTCAAGTTGTTATAGTATAGTACCCCACTCATGACGCAATCAATCACATTTAAGGATCATTCTCTTTCTTCTTTCTTTTTGTGGGGGCGACATCTTGCATATTTCTCTAAAAAATGCTGAAAAAAAAGCAGTGTCATTGGCGTATTTATCAAAATTGAGAAGTAGATTTTGGGGAACACATACCCAGGGCATTTTGCTTTCTGGTGACAAAATCCCAAACAATTATAGGCCAAAAAAATTGAACTTTACAGAAGAAAAAAAATAAAAGGAAAAAAGAAGAAGAAAAAGATAAGGGAAAAAAATAGCTAGAGCTAGCTAATGTACACTCGAGAGCCAGCTCAAGCTAGCTGCCTAACACTAGCAAAAGCAATCCGCTTACGTCTCCGGCGATCAACCGCCGGTGCACGGCACCTCGTCGATGGCCTCCAGCCTCGGATGCCACGACCGGTGCCGCCTCACGCCGCCGCCGCCGCCGCTCGGCTTGACTCCGGCGGCGGCGGCGGCGGCGGCGTCCGGCGCGGCGTGGAGCTGCAGGCTGAGCACCGGAAAGAACCTGGCGCCATCGTCGCTTCCGTCGTCGCCTTCGTGATCCGTCGGCTCGCTGATCCGGCCACCGTGGCTCCCATCGCGGCGGCGACCGCCGCCGGTGGCGATCCTCTTCCACGACGAGGAGGCCGCGGTGGCGGCGTGGAAGCTGGAGAGCGCGGCCATCTCCTCGTCGGTGAGCACGGAGTAGAGCATGTCCATGGGCAGCAGGAAGTAGGCGCGCCGCGGCTCGAGGAGCTCGTCCGCCGCCACGCCGGGCACCCGGCAGCCGACGGCGAGGCGGCCGGAGTCGCACACGAACTGCCCCGGGTAGTCCACCATCAGTTCCGACGCCCTCACCGGCCGCGCGAGCCGCGTCACCGTGCCATCGACGTGGATGATCTTGCACGCCGTCGACGACGAGCCGCCCGCCACCGGAGCCAGCGGTATGCACGACGGCGTGATCCCCATGAGAACTAGAGAGAGAAGAGAATGAGAATGAGATGGTGATGAAGAAGCAATGGAGGAGATGGTCTATATGCAGGAGGCACAAGTTGCATATTGGTTGGTAGTGCAGGGAAGAAGACAAGCAAATGATTAGTGTGCTGTGTAAGGGGTTAGGAGCAGCTTGCTTGATTATCTAATGCTAATCCGATTTAATTATCTACGACTTAGCTAGGATCAACCGATCAAAAATGGCCATATGACCGCAGTTTGGATGCTTAAAACGTGGCAGCGAGAGGGGCCGTCAAGACAGGTTGGCATGCAGCAGGAACAAGATTAGTGGCATCAAGCTAATAACTAGCGGATTGACGAGAGTCTTTTGGTGAGATGTCACTGTTCTTAACTAGCATACGGTCGAGATGATTATATATATATGCTAATTCCATCCAGGTGTTAACGCTCGCTTAAGCAGGATGTTAATAATTATCTAGCCTTTTGGGGAAAAAGATAAACTTGGTTTTGCAGGCTGCTGCTTAGGATATGGACACATTCTGGCAGTGCCCGACACCAACGACCACTTTTGCTAAGCTAGCAAGCATTGAGTTGGAAGCCACAAACTGAACTAAAAACTATTATGCTTTCTTTCATTCTTTCTTTCTTTACAGAGTAAGCCAGCTGAATTGATGGGTCAATTGAGTGATAAACATAATAGTATTTGCAGCTGAAGTGTCAATGGCAGAGTTCTGAAGGTATATGTCTGCAGATTGCAGCATTAGTGATTAGTTGATGCTCTGCAGTTTAACAGTCCACAAAGCGAGGGGGTTAATCCTGATGCTTCACATTATTCAGTTTGACTCTGAAATTAATCAAGGTTTATAAATTTTATCAACTTCAAAAGTATTGGGTGTTTGAGAGCTGACATGTTTGTGTTAGCAAAAAAGAAAATAAAGATGTAGGAGTATTTTATAACTTAAACACAGTGCATTTTTTACTATTATTCTGCTGCTCTAGGCAAGCAAAAGATTAAACAAACAAATAGATTATACAGCATTAAGATGTGCGTGTTGCTAAGAGAATACGACGACGGATCCAGCTTGCATTCAACCAACCTAACTAAAATCTGAGGATCTGGCATTTGGCCCCTCCATATATTCCCAAATCTCTGCCTCTTGTGTTCAGTGCTTGTGACGGCAATCAAGGAGATGGAATCCTAAGAGAAATGTTAATTTATCTGTTTATTTATTCGCTCTTCAGCAATGCAAGAGTTCTTTTTTGCTTTTGAAGCAATGCAAGAGGTCAGTATCTCAAATCTACTCATCATTCTGAAAATCTTGATAGGTGTTAAAAAAAAACATTTTGACTGACTTAAGTACACTAGTATAAAGTATGCAAAACTGGCTCATGTGCATTCTAACTCAGCCACATGACGAAACATGTCGAAAAATTTAAATTATAAAAAATAGTTTTGAATTAATCCAGTTATTTTTCATAGTTTTCTATTTAACCCGCTAAGAGTAGAAATAAGAAGGTGCTGCCCAAAATCATTTTAGGTTTTCGTTTATTTTTGTATAGCTTATTATCGTAGCTTAACCAATTGAGCACTAAATAAACACGATATTATCATGTTTTTTTTCTTTTTACAGGAGATGAGCCTAACTTTCTTTGAGTGCTCAGGTTCATTTTATAGTCTAGCAAAATTTCCTCTCTTTTTTTTTGGTCTTTTATTTGTTGTTAGGAAAAGGCCCATCAAGATTTCTTGGGCTTGTAGACGACTAGTACTATTGAAAGTAGGCCCATTAAGTGGCCGAACTTGTCGAACTGGGCCAAGCTTGTCCTCGTGTGCAGGCGAAAAAAATAAGGAAACCCGAAGGACTCCTCCCACGAGATCGGACGGCCAGAAGAGGCCCAACCCCACAAACCGACGGCTAGAGATCACTCCACGTCGTCAGGAATAACCCCCGGAAGCGGGCCGCGTCGTATTTCACTTGGACCCTCGCAACCCTAATAAACCCCTCACCCCCGCGCCGCCGCCGCCTCCACTCTCCTACGCTTCCACCCCCCATTCCCATCCCCTCCACCCAGATCGCCGCCGCCGCCTTCGCCTCGGACGGCCGTACGGCGCCGTCCACCGCGCACGTCTCCGGCGATCTACAGGTATCGTCGCCACCTCCTAGCCCCCGGTCTCTCATCATACGGTGGCTTCCCCCCGTGGTGGATTCCTCGGTCGGTTCCGATCTGTTCGGGAGGTGGGGGTGGGGGGTCGTTGTTCTGTAGGTTATGGAGCGTTGGTGGTGTTGTTTTTTGTGGGTGGTTCGAGGTGAATCGGTGGGTTGATTCCTGATTTTGCTGTTTGTTTTGGCTGTGATGAAGGTGTAGATCGCTTCCGGAGACATCCAACCGCGGCCATGGCGACCTTCGCGAAACCTGAGAACGCGCTCAAGAGAGCGGAGGGTGAGTCCCCTTTGGATCTGTTATGTTTATTTAGGGGACCAGTTTTCACTGTTTTGTAAGCATGGAATTCGAAAAGAGCGGTGTTTGATTCCTCCCGTCATAGACAAATTAACAGACCATGGCTGGTCGTTCAATCTTACAGAAATACTTGTTGATTCGTTCGTGCTAGTTCTTAGATGTGTTCAATTATACATACTTCGGAAAACATTTTATTTTTACTGATGATGGCCCTCTGCTCTACTTCAGAGTTGATACATGTTGGGCAGAAGCAGGCAGCGCTACAGGCGTTACATGATCTCATCACTTCAAAAAGATACAGGTCATGGCAAAAGCCACTCGAAAGGATTATGATGAAGTATGTGGAGCTCTGTGTAGACCTGAGGAAGGGCAGGTTTGCGAAAGATGGCCTTATTCAGTACAGGATTGTCTGCCAGCAAGTGAATGTGTCATCCTTGGAGGAGGTGATAAAACACTTCATGCAGCTTTCCAATGAGAAAGCAGAGCAAGCAAGGAACCAGGCGCAAGCACTGGAAGATGCCCTGGATGTAGAAGATCTGGAAGCAGACAAGCGGCCTGAGGATTTGATGCTCAGCTATGTCAGCGGGGAGAAAGGGAAGGACCGATCAGACAGAGAGCATGTCACACCATGGTTCAAGTTTCTCTGGGAAACATACAGAACAGTTCTTGAGATATTGAGAAACAATTCAAAGCTTGAAGCATTATATGCTGTAAGCTATTCTATCTGTGTTCCCCTTATTCCTGTATACATACTCTTCACACATGACATGGCATTTCATCTGGCTGTTCCATTTTGTGTACACAATCAATGATCTTAATCGTGATTGCCTCGATGCTGCGCTTCTGCCCGTCTAGTGTCTTCAAAACAATAATGTGAATAAACACACCTAATTCACCGCTCTACTGCCATACCACCAATTGGATTTCCTTCTAGTGCTATTATAGTACTCTTGGTCATCATTGTTCAATCACATTATCATATGCTGTATTATTAGAGTTCCTACTTTAACTGCTTCATATTTTTCCTATGTCATCTAATAAAATAGTTGTACACTATGTCATTATCACATTATTATGGCTTAATTTGGTAATGGTGCCAGAAGTTTAACATGATGATTCAATTACCATAATTGCATTCTCTCTGCACTATGTCTGTTTATATTTATGCAGATCTCTGTGTAATTGCCAATTTGGTTTAGGCAGATTTTACTCCTGTTTTTTTCCAGAACCTTAAATAAATTTCTGAATTGTGAAATTGATTTCCTGCACATAGTCTTCTGTACCAAGTACTTTTGCATTTGCCAATGCATCTAAACCCTTTTTAATCTCTCATTTTGCAGATGACTGCTCACAAGGCTTTTCAATTTTGTAAGCAGTATAAGAGAACGACTGAATTCCGTAGGTTGTGCGAGATAATAAGAAATCATCTTGCTAACTTGAACAAATACCGTGACCAGCGAGATCGTCCTGATCTGACTGCCCCAGAAAGCTTACAGCTATACCTGGACACTAGAGTTGAACAACTAAAAATTGCTACAGAGCTCTCTCTCTGGCAGGTCCGTTCCTTATATTTTTTAACCTTTTTTATGCCAAGTGAATCATCTTTGCTGTATGATCGTAAAGCTTTGCTTCTTGCAGGAGGCCTTTAGGTCTGTGGAAGACATCCATGGCTTGATGAGCATGGTGAAGAAAACACCAAAACCATCTGTCCTGGTTGTGTATTATGCCAAGTTGACTGAAATATTCTGGATATCTGATTGCCACTTGTATCATGCATATGCATGGCTTAAGCTATTCTACTTGCAGAAAAGCTACAATAAGAACTTGTCTCAGAAGGACCTTCAATTAATAGCTTCTTCTGTTTTGCTTGCTGCACTTGCCGTGTCACCATATGACCATAAATATGGCGCATCTCATCTTGAGCTTGAAAATGAGAAAGATCGTAATCTGCGGATAGCTAATCTCGTCAACTTCTCCCTTGACTCCAAGCGTGAGAATAGAGAAGTGGTTAGCCCTCCAGATCTTTTTCAAAGCAAAGAATATTTTGAATAATTTTATTTATTATCTTCCTGACATATCTCCTGTCACCATTGCAGCCATCAAGAGCATCTCTTTTTTCTGAGCTGGTATGTGCTGAATCCTGGGTCCTTTTATTTATCAAACTATTCTGTTGAGTTTTGCACTCTCGTCAGTTGTCGATGGGATAGCTGACATGGATAGTTCATTCAATTCTTTTTGTCAGTATTATAGGGTTGGTAGGGTTGTATCCAGTAATTTGTACTCCATTTATCATGCATAATTGAATTTCTCTTCTTGTGCTTGCTTGACTTGATATTTATAAATTTAGGCTGCCAAAGGTGTCATTGCCTGTGCTTCACAAGATGTCAAAGATTTATACAACCTTTTGGAACACGATTTTCTTCCTCTGGATCTCGTATCCAAAGCACAGCCACTGCTATCTAAGATTTCAAAGATTGGAGGGAAGCTTTCATCAGCTCCCTTGGTTCCAGAAGTTTTTCTGTCACAGTACCTTCCTGCTTTGGAGAAGTTAACAACTTTAAGGGTGTTGCAACAGGTATGTTCAATGGCACACTGTACAGGAAGTATAAGTTCTCTTTTCTCATGATCTTTTACGTTATTCTTTGGTTAACACGTGGTTTATGCACCCTTTTGTTCTTTTTCAGGCTTCCCAGATATTTCAGTCTGTGAAAATTGATATGCTCTCAAGAATGATCCCATTCTTTGACTTTTCTGTTGTTGAGAAGATCTCTGTTGATGCCGTGAAACACAATTTTGTTGCTATGAAAGTCAACCATTTATCAGGAGCTGTCCATTTTGGGAAAATGGTATGTGGTTTAGTTCCTCAAGTCTGTTGGCCACTTTAGCCTTCTCAGTGTTCTTATTGGTGGAATTTACTTTTTTATTGTTTTATTTCCCTGTAAGCATCAGTATAGAAGTTGGTTGTTCTGTTCATTGTGGTATGCATATTTATCCTCGCCAAATTATTTCCTCTAAAGTTGAAATATTCATAGAGACCATAGTTTGAACTGATGGCCAAGATACAATTGGTACATGACAACCACTATTTTCATTCACTTTCGACAGCCTTTGTAGTGTAGAACAAAAATGTGTTGACTCAATTGTATATGCTGTCTTACCACTAAGACTTAGGGCATGGTTCTTTGTGCCTCTGTTACAATATTTGTGCTATGTGTTGGAACCAGCAGATCCTTGTGGCAGAGTGTTTTCCATGATAAAATATTGTCAACTTATTTTTGCCACTAACTGGTTCATGTGGCTTGTTTTTACCACTGGGTTTATGGAACTGGCATTTAGCCCTAGGTATATTTGCCAAATCGAGTGTATTGTATGTTATTTGTAATAAAAAAGAAAGTCTGAAGAAAATTCTTGCTTGATTTATTTTGCTTCAGATTTTAAACTAGGTGTCACTGTCGTAGACATTTTTGGTAATCTGGTAATTGTACATAGCTGTAACTCGCATTCTCATTCTCAACATTATATTTAACTATGTTATATTATTTTTTATTTTTTAGATTTTCAAGTGACTATGTAGTGCCTGATGTTGGTATCTTTTGGTTTTAATACGTTCTAGTTTGTTTGCTTTTAATGCCAAATATCAGACAGTACTGGTTCTTGTGCTGTCAATTTCGGGACTTCAGTTTTATTAATTATTAACCTGTGACATCAATTTTATTCTGACTGGTTTCTGTTTGTAGGACATTGAATCTGATTGTCTCAGTAATCACCTAAGTGTTTTGGCTGATTCTCTAAATAAAGCAAGGAGCCTTATCCATCCACCTGTGAAGAAGCCATCCAAGCTTGGTGAAAACTTAACGAGTCTTGCTGCAGTAGTGGAGAATGAGCACAAGCGTCTTCTTGCGAGGAAATCAATTATTGAAAAACGCAAAGAAGATCTTGAGCGCCAAATATTGGAAAAGGTGTCTATTTGGTACTGTTCAAAGTGGCCAACTCTGTGAATTTCTGCTTATGTCATATTCTCTCTTTTCCAGGAAAAGGAAGAAGAAAAAAAGAGATTGAGTGTTCTCAAGAAATCTGCAGAAGATGAAAGGATAAGGCTTCTCAATGATGTAAAATTGAGGGAACAGGAGAGGATCCGTCGACAATTGGTTGAAAAAGAAAAGATAGAGGCAGAAGAACTGCTTCAGAAACAGATAAAGGAGATAGCAAAGAGAGGAGGAAAAAAACCTGTCCTTCAGGGGGTGAGAATAATTAGTTTCCAATCATTATATTTTATTTATTACGCTGACTAGTTATTTGTTGATAATGTTTTTTTTTCTGTTTAATGTATTGCTCAATTTATATTTGCTCGATATTTCATTATATATTTCTTTTTGTGTAAGGCATTATATTTGTTGTGAAGACTTCTGTTTCATCAATATGCTTATTAGTTATGTCTGTTTGTTCAGTCCAATATTGATTCTTTTTTGTCTTAACTGCTCAGAAATTCTAGTGGAGTAGTAGAGGGTGTGCTAATATGCTGTTTTTTATGTTTTGTGGCTAACCATTATAGACTACAAGAACGCAGAACGCAGATGATATTTGAATCTTTATATTCTGTAGTGTCCTACTCTTGTTTCATATTAAGAATTGATTGTCTTCTCCGAAGTCGGAACTATAAAGTTGTACTATCCCAAGCCAATTACAGCTTAATATTTGTTTCTCCACACAGGCCCTTTATACTTTGAATGTTTTCATTGCAGGAAGTTACTAAGGAGGCTGTGATGGAATTGGCTATGAATGAGCAGTTTAAGGAGCGCCAAGAGATGGAGAAAAAACTACAGAAGACTGGTAAGCAAATGGATTACTTGGAGAGGGCAAAAAGGCAGGAAGAGGCACCTCTAATTGAGCAAGCTTTTCAAAAACGCCTTGAAGTAGAGAAAATCCTTCATGAGCAAGAGCAGCTGGTTTGTTTCTCACAATTCCTTGATTGTCACATTACAATAGCATATGATTACTTAAGCTCACAAAAATCACTATTAATCTCTTCTTGTAGAGAGAGATTGAGCTCAGCAAGCAACACCATGCAGGTGACCTGCAGGAGAAGAACAGACTTTCTCGAATGTTGGAGCATAAGGTAAGCAAATACATATCTGTATTCAGACCAGATATTCTTGCACTATTTCATCTTCTTTTTAGTTAATTGAAGGACCAAATGTCCCACTGTAATTAATCCTGTGTTTTTCCGAAACCATGTTTTGCAATTCCAAGCATAACAGTTGAAATACTTAGTATATTATCTGTGCAAAGGTCTGATTAGATACAGATTAATTTAACATATAATATGTGCTATACTTGCTGAGAATCTAATATTGGCATGTCTTCTTTGGCTATGTGTGTGTTCACATGATTTGAGCACTAGACATTTGAATACACCAGGCGATTTGTTCCTGTCAGGGAATAGACAGCTGTCTTCTCTCCTTCGCACATATTTTAAATTGCCCTTTTTGCTTGCAGAACATTTTCCAGGAAAGAATTGTCCAACGTCGTGAAGCTGAGTTTAGTCGTCTTAAGAAAGAGAGGGATGAAAGGACTAGTCAATTGATATCATCAAGGAAGCGTGAAAGGGATACAGTGCGGAAGTTAATGTACTATCTTAACTTAGAAGAGCAGCGCCTCCAAAGGCTCCGTGAGGAAGAGGAAGCTAGAAAACGTGAAGGCAAGAATTCATGACTTTGTGCTTTGAAATACTTGTTCTTATCTTACCTTATTAGATTAGATTAATTTACACTGCCATATATCGTCCAGCTAATTTTGGAATTTCTTGAGAATTAGTGAACATTGCTTGTTGAATTACTGTGACTTTACTGCAGTATGGACCTGTGTTACTTAGGGCCTGTCACTTTGATGCCAAAAAAAACCTTACCAAATTTTGGCATAGCCAAAATTTCGGCAACTTGCCAAAATTTTAGCAGGATTTCTTATATAGTTACCAAAATTTGGCAACAAACTAAATGTAGCCACTTTTCTTGCAACTTTAACAAAATTTGGTAAGATTGAAAATGGCATCAAAGTGAACAAGCCCTTAGACAATGGATAGCTTTAAAACTTAAAATGTTATTTGGCATCAAAGTGTGATTTGCTTGTGCATAATTATCTTGCGGATCTTTTTTTTTTTGCCTGATGCAATGAAATCAAATTCTAGCTTATACATATTGTTGATAATGATTTCACCTTCTCTGCAGAGGAAGAGAGGAGAAAGAGGGAAGAGACTGAGAGGAAGGCTAAGCTGGATGCAATTGCAGCCAAGCAGCTGCAGAGAGAGAGGGAACTAGAAGAGAAGAAGGAAAAACAGAGAATGGAAGCTCTCATGGGAAGAGGAGCTGGAGCTGCTGAGCCTGCACGCACTCCTGATGCTGCTCCGGTTGCACAGCCAGCTCAGCCGGTAGCTGCACCGGCTGCTGCTGCTGCCGCTGCTGCACCAGCTGCTGGTAAGTATGTCCCGAAGTTTAAACGAGGTGGTGATGGTGGCAGTAGTGCTGGCGGCCAGAGACCTGCTGTGGCACCTGAGCAAGACCGTTGGGGTTCACGGGATGATCGCCCACGTCCTGATATGCGTCCGCTCCGCCAAGAGGCACCCCCTGCTCGCGATGCTGCTCCCCCAGCCCGCCAAGATGGTCCTCCAGGCACATGGCGACCTTCAAGATACTCAAGTTCATCATCTTCCTCAACCTGGAGCAGCAGGCGCAACTGAAGCCGTCTGCTTTCAGATGTGGACTGCTAGGGTGAGATTTTTTGCTGTCCAGGGCCATTGCTGAGATAAGCCTGTGAAACATGGTTGAATGTTTGACTGTTTGCGCATCAAATGCTCGTAAAATTTTGGAGTTAGGACCTGCTTCAGGGCAATAGCACCTTTCCTAAGTTATGTCAAATGTTATTTCGTTGTTGCAGTTACTCCATTGCACACTGGATTGCTACTCGTTAAGTTTGTCCAAACTTTGGCGCTGTTAGTAATACTGGAATATTGCCCTTGTCTTTGTGTCTTTGTTCGTTTGGTCGTTGCTACAAGTACATCGCATTTCTTTTGATTATCATCAAACTAATATGACTTGTTGATCTTGATTAACACCAAACTCGGATGAAGCTTTGACGAAGAGTTGGCGGAAACATGAATCATGGTGGTGTACCCCAAGCAGGAACGCACTGCTAGCAGTTGGTAGTTTGATGCACTGGGATTTCGGAGCTCGATTTGCACCGGAAATACAACCTTACCTATCCGCGGTCTCCTACGTTGCTCAAGTAAAGCATTAACGTTCTCCAATGTTGCTCAAGTAAAACATTAACCTTGCATAGAAGTATGAGACTGCCAATCTGTTTGACCTTGCATAGAAGTATGGATGGCAATGAACTGAACTGTACAACATGAAATGCCATCCCTCTACATCATGCCAAAATTCGATGAGTGTTGTCATTTTTGGCATCCCATTGGCTTTGCCCAGTAAATCCATCTGGTAATCAGAAACTCGGAATGGAGTTGGGAGGCAGGATGCGTTCGCTTGTCTCCTTTTATCGCACGTTCTCGATCCAACGGTTCCTGTGAATACCAACATTCTACCACCCCAGTTTCAAATTTTTTTTTTCGAAAGAAAACGAAAAGTGAAAAAAAAAAGAAAGGCGTCGGCAACTTGAGTTGGGCAAAGAGCAAGGTTCCACACGCTGTCACTGCCGTGTGGGCCATCCCCCCCCCCACGCCACGCGCTCTGCTCTTTCTTTATCTAGTCGGTAGGCTCGGTCCACTCCGCCTCTCTCTCTCTCTCTCTTCCTCCTCCGCGCGCCGCCTTACCCCTCTCCTCCTTCCTCGACGCGGCGGCTGCTCCAGATCTTCTCTTCCCCTCGCGGCGGCGTCTCCCGTCCAATCCAGTGAGTTCTCCTCTCCCCCCCCCCCCTCCTCTGCACCGCTTGCTGCATCCATCCACTTCTCTCCTCCCCAACTTTTTTTTTGAATTTTTTTTCTTACTAGATAGATTCGTGGTGAGGGCTTAGATCGCGTGGTGCGGATTGCTCAGGCTCCGGATCTGTACGTATAGACGCGCGAGCCGCGGGAGATTCTGAGTGGGTGGCTAGGTTTTTGTGCTGTGCGTCTAGGGTTTGGGCGCGGTTCGTCCTTGTTCTAGGGTTCCCTCGCAATTCAGATCTGACTCGTCGCTGGAATCTTCGTGGGGCTTCGGTTTTTCAAATTCCGTCGCCTCACCGTTGCCGCGAACACCCCCCCGCTAGGGATGGGAATTGGGCCCAGACTACCTGTGGGCTATGGCTATGCCCCGATATGCTTTTTTGTGCATATATATTCCCATCGAGATCAGGGGGCGACTCGAGAAGTTGCTTGCTGAAAGCTACGTCATATCCGCTACGAATTCACACATTTTCTCTTGTTGTTTCAGGTGAACTATCGGCTCAGTAAAAGGGGAAAAAGGAGGGATCTTTTCTGGACATTTGAAGCTTACGGACGACAAGGTAAGAAAGTGTATATAATTCACATTATGCGCGTCTTTAGTTAACAACAACTCTGCTACCAAGCTGTTTCTACCATCCGTGTTCGTGTAAGGAGTTGTACCCTATACATGTCTCTGGAATTCAAAATTACATCCATCTTTAAACTGGCGCCATATCCAATTCTTTTTTTTTTCTTGGATACATATTAACACCATCTGTGTTGACTGTCTGTAGTCTTTTCTCATCATTTTGGATAAATATTACACCAAAGTCTCTTGTTTATATAGCTATATGAACTCAGAAAGCTGAGAAGCTGCAAGTCTGCTGCTACTAGCAACATGATTTAGATGCTTAGTGGAAGTTTGCTCAAATATTTGAACCGCATAAGCTTGCTTTGCTTTTTACGTGAAGCCTAAACAAGACATTCTATTCTTCTATAGTTGTATTTTGGGGGGATCGATTTCATGTATGCCTGATTTCCAATGTATTTGGATGTCAGTTTTGCCTAGGTTTATTTTATCTATTTTGGGTTCAGCTTATATTTTTGCTGTCTGTTATCATGCTATATTATTCTAGATATTTCAAAAACTAACAGTGATTTTGTCTCTTCTATGAGATGCACCTCCTTGCATCATTTCACGGCCCTACAGGTTTTAAGTCTGTAGCTGATCTGTCGGGATGGACTCCAAGAAGTTCCTACAGCTGCTTGAAGAGAAAAAGAAGAGAATCCTTGAGAAGAAAGAAGCCCCACTGAAATGGGAGCAAAAGCTCGAAGCAGCAGCGAAGGCAAAAGCTGATGCTGAAGCAAAGGAAAAGAAGCTTAAGTCAAGAAAGCACAGAAGGAGGGGCCATTCTTCCTCAGACTCTGAAAGTGATTCCGACAGTGATGGTGATCGGAAGCACAGGAAGAGGAAGGACCGCAAAAGGCACAGGAAACACGGTCACTCTGATTCCGATGAAGCCAAGAGGCACAAGCGCAGATCAAAGAGGAGAAGCTCAGACTCAAGCGATGATACTGATAGTGATGAATATGATAGTGGGTCTGAAGAAGAAAATCGAAGGAAGAAGCGCTCACACAGGAGAAAGCATCGCCGACATTCATCAAGGTCTGATTCTGATGCTTCAGACTATAGCAGCGATGATGAAGAGAGGAGATCTTCCAAGAAGGACCATTCCAGTTCCAGGAGTCACAGGCACCACCACCACCGATCATCTGGTGATGACTCAGGGTCTGAGTCTGAGGAGAGGGGCAGGTCAAGACATAAGAAACATCATAGATCAAGCGATGAGGATGCAACATCAGATTCCAACAACCATAAGCACCGTAGGAGTCGCTCCCTGGAGGAGTCATCCGATGATGCAGCTGCCGGTGAATATGAAAAGGTGAGAAATGGTAAAAGGCCTCACAAGACCGGACACCATCGTCACCACCACCGCCACCACCATCACCATCATGATCACCGTAGCTCTTCTGAACCTAATGACAAGAAGCGGCAAGATGGCCAGAAAGCCCTTGAAGGTGGCAACGTTGATTAAACTCCAGCGGCACTAGTTGAATTGGTTTTTGGCGCGTGAAAAGAATTTTAGTTGTCTTATCTTTTATGTTGGTCACTCTTTATTCCAACGTTGTGGATTCTGACGTTGTACTGATACAAAGTCGGTTCGGTGATTGTGACTTTTATGTCTCGTCGTTTCTTCGTTTCATCTGTGTTGGCTAATTTGAACTTCAGTCGGTGGTTCGAATTGTTCTATTGACTGCTCAAAAAATGAGAACTAAAGATGCTTTCTGCTTAGTACTGGCACAGTTGTGCTATGTTTTACCGTTGTGATGCTGAATTGTAGAAATCAACTCGAATGACTGCTACAGGTACTGGGTTATCGGCTAGTACATTAGTAAATGTCAATGCATGAAAATTTTCATGCATGCTTTACGTCCGCTTTTGTTGCATGCATATAAATTTATGTATGATCGAAAAGAACATTACTCTTTATTTTGTTGATAGTGGGAAGAACAGTTGTATATACATACAAACAAACGCATCTCAAATCAATTCAAAACTGATCCTGTTATAGCCTTCTAATACACAAATTATTATTTTTTTTGCGGGGAAATAATACACAAATTATAACTGAAGACAAATTATAACTGAAGGCAAATACATGAGGCCACTCATCTCTACCTCTTTTATAAGGCAAATACATGAGGCCACTCATCTCTACCCCTTTTATTGAGCTAGCTTTTGTAATTTGGAGTATATCAACACCTTCCAAGGGGGTATTGTTTCAGGAGGTACAAAACTGTATGAACTAGGGCCTTTCGGTTCAAATGCGAAAATGCCCACCAAGTGTTGATATTGATACATCAGGCTGGCAAAATCCAGATTACAGCGCAGCATGTTGCATCGTGCAGGAAAATTGGAAAAAGAAGCCCCTATATGTAAGTAGTACAAAACTGTTTCTCTGTTGCGAGTTTCCATCGCGCTTGCTGTAAAGAATAATCACTGTAATGAGTAATAAGGATACAACATCTAGAAGGCTGATAATTGTGTTCTAGTGGGCTAGGGGCAGTCAGAAGTTTGTTAAGATTCTATCTTTTGGCACACCGTCAGCAACAAGTGCTCTAGTAATTTCCTGCAACATATCAATATAGATGAAAATCAGAATGAATGTACACAACAAAGTCACTCAACACACGCCCACCCCTGGCGATTACGGATTACCACAGAAACTATCAGGCCATGAAGATAAATTGGCCATAGTTATTCTGCAGTTAAATGCAAATCTTAGCGGTACAGTAACTTGTTGCTCTCTGGCGCAAACTAGTAAGGTAGATAATTCATTCATCTCCTCAGATTGAGCATTAGCTACAAAGCAATTCCACACTGGTGTCTGTATTTTATATGACAGTTTCATATGAGGAAATGTAAACCATGTTCCAGTATATCAGGAAAAGGCATATTGTTGGAGAGTATTAGTGGTTGAAGCCTTTAAGGCTATGCTTTTATGTATAGATGGTCAATAGAAGAGAATAATTCAGAATCAAAATTGCATAAAGCATTGAAACACTTGGACAAAAAAAAATCATAACACATTTAATGTATGACACGGTCTGAGGGTTGTATCAAGTCAACAACTTCAGCATATCAAAGAAAACAGAAGGAAATGTAATCATACCTCAGACATCTGTTTATGTCCACACAAAATTGCCCCCATGGATGAAGGATTTACAACCTTCTTCATCCTTGAAAAAGCATTCTGCTAAATGCAGAACCAGCTATAAGAATACAACAACGAACAAACAGGTAAAAATAACCGAGATGCAAAATGATAACAGTACCTGGACATAGCCTCGCTCGCCGGTCCATTGATCATCAGGTCTTGAGAGAACAGGTATAATTTTGATTCCACTGGATTCCCAATTAGTGAATCTCTCCTGTCAGAGTAGGGTCTTGAGATATATACAGAAGTGAACTTACGAGTTGCACACATAAGACTTGACATTTACCTGATATGCCATCCTCTGAAGATTTCTAACCCCATAAAAGAGCTTTACATCAATGTTCTCATTTTCGCCAAAACCTGACTCGATGAGTGACCGAATTGGACTGCAATAACATACGTAGAACAAATAATGTGATCAGGATTACACACTTCAATGCAATAACATTCGAATGTCTTGTATACATATATTTTTCCTGTGTAATTGGTACGATAGAGAGGGTAGTCATGATTTCTTATAAACAGGGTTGATTTGTGCTTTGTAAGCAAGAGCGCAGATTATGAAACCAATTAGGCAAAGCTACCGATGCGGAAAATGAAATCAAGGCCATCAAAGATACAGCTTTTGGCATGTGGCAGCATAAAACAGACATGCATTCTGCAGCTATTCAGCAACTAAATCATCTGAAATGCAAATGCATACGGTAGGGACTATCATTTCTATCATCTATAAATCTATTGAAATCGACTTGCACAGATTCTAATTAGCCATTACATCTCACAAGGGCATCTATAATCGGTTTAGGTCACTAGTGTGAGCGAATTTTGACGAGGATTTGAGGAAGCCCTTGTCGCAGAGGAGCATGTAGGTTACCTGATCCCGGATCCGGTGGCGAAGACGAGGACATCGCGCGCGTCAGCGATCCTGCCGACCTCGAATCCGCGGCCGACGACGCTGCCGCCGACGTGGACGAGGTCGCCGGGGCGCAGGTCGCAGAGGCACGCGGAGGGGGTGCCGGGGAGTCGCTTAACGAGGAAATCGAAGGAGGTCGCGAGGCCCGGCGCGGGAGGGGAGGAGGAGATGGCGAGGAAGATCGGGTAGGGCGCGGCGGGGAGGCGGAAGGGGAGGAACTGGCCGGCGGCGACGTGGGAGGCGAGGAGGTCGGCGCGGGAGGAGAGGTCGAGGGAGACGTGGAAGAGGGACGCGTCGGCGGTGGCCGCGCCGACGGAGGCGACCGGCGCCGTGGTCCACTCGGTCGGGGTCGGCGGCGCCGCCGCGAGGGCGGCGGCGGTAGAGAGGTGGTGCGGGCGGAGGTGGTGGAGGCGGCGCGGCGCCGACCGGAGGAGCATGTGGAGGAGGAGGTCGCCGGGCGCGGCGAGGAGGAGAGGTGGCGGTGGCGGGATCTCGTCGGGCTCCGGGGAGGTAGGAGGAGACTGAATTGTACACGCTCTCTTCTTCTTTGGAGAAATTTTTTTTTTCTTTTCTTTCTCCTCTCTTTTTTTTTCTTCTTCTTCAGAAAGAAAAGAAGGTGCATCCCAGAATTAGAAAACGAAACAGCAGGGAAGCTGTAATCTGATTGTGTTTATTGTTTTGTCTAGCTATAATAAATAAATAACTAGAGGAAAGAAATTATAAGCGCATTCAAAAAGAAAAGTTGAGATGAATAACAATATCAGCTCATATCATAATTGTGTTTGGGGTTTCCTTCACCTTGATAGTAAGGATGAAAGAGTGCTAACGTAAAACGAAGGATGGTACTTATTACAATTTGCGTAGGTACTAATTCATCATATACGTTAAAAACTCTAAAGCAAATGCAAATATATCCTGGTCTCCGATGTCGACCTTATCGCTGTAATAACTGTATGGCGTGGTCATTTTAAAGTCATCGTGAGATTAGATCATAGGCAGTCTTTCTTTTCTTTCTTTTTTTTATTCCCTCTCCCCCATTTCTTTTTGGTTTTGCACATAAATTATTTCTTTTAATACAAAGATGAGCAATCATGTTGCTTATTAAAAAAAGTGAAGATATCATCATAATATGTAGATGAATAAAAATTAAACATAATCACAATCACAGGTTGTTCAATTATTTCCATACATTTGAAAAATTATGAGATTATTAGATTATAGACTTTACGCCATCTTTTTTATCATCAAAAAACTCCTTATATAAACAAGAAAGCAACATCCTATCGTCAGGGTAAAATAAGCACATCCTATCTTATACAGGTTGAGGAAAAATGAACTAACATACAAACTACCACTACACTTCAATTAAGATTTTTTTTTTGAACGAAGAGGATATTTTAATTTTTCAACCTGCTATGGAGCAAAGTAAAATTTGTCCATGTGTTAGATATAACCACAGTAGAAATTTCATAGAAACCATATAAATTCTATAAATTCCTGGTTTTTTTCCCAGTGCCGATCAAGTTGCTAGAATGATTTCATGAATTTGTTTGCATAACTAAACTGACTTGTCTTCAACATGCTAATCCTGGTTTCAGAATGAGAGTGACCAAGTGGCAGGTGGTGGCCACTGGGCGAGCTAACCCTGTCCACGTCTGCTCGTCGCCATGGCCTCTCGTTCCTTCCCCAGCACTGCAGCCACACACACCTGCGACTGCGAGCTCCCCGTCTCTCGCCAATGGCGGCGTTGTCGTCTGCCTCCTTGCTCCCTCCTCCTTCCACCTTCGTCCCCGTCCTCTCGCCACTCCGCAAGCCGCCGCCCCAGCACCTCGCCATCCGCGGCTCCCCCCACCGCCGTCGCGGCCGCCGCCTCTCGCTCGCCGCTTCCTCCGCCGCCTCACCGGACTTAGAGAAGGAGCCCTCGCAATCGCCCTCGCCCTCGCCGCAGGAGAAATCCCCTGGTGATCTGTCGGTGAGTATCCCTTTGCAAAGATCCCCATCTCTTTTTTTTTTCCTTTTTTTTTCTTTCCCATCAATTTCTCTTCCTAGTGATTGGTGAAAGAGTAAAAATGGTTTGGTTTTTTTTGATGTGGATTTAGCGTAGGCCGTGGCGGAGAGCGTGAAGGTGCTGAAGGAGGCGGCCAAGACGAGGAAGGTGCCGTCGCCGGAGTTGCTCGCGGCATTGGCCAAGATCAAGAAGGCAAAGCTCGACACATCCACCTTCTTCGAGACCCTCGGTGGGACACAGTCCCCGGGCAGGACATGGATGCTCATCTTCACTGCTAAGGTCACCAACATGCGCCTCATTGCTCGCGAGAGGAGCAGCCATTTTGGTGTTTCTGAAAGAAAATGGAAAAAATCGTGCTTGGTTGCTTAGTTGGTGGTGAAACTGAAAGAACTGAAAATGTCTTTGCAGGGTCGGCTGGAGAAAGGACAGTACTTCCCAGTGACCGCAGTCCAGCGCTTTGATGCTGCAGTAAGCTCTCTTCGTTACTTGCCATGATAATAGAATCTTTATGCTTTAGCAGCCCAGTTGCCACTTTGTTGGGGCTGAACCAAATCACTTCATGTGCAAACTACAATTCATCGACCGGCAAACATATTTCACACAATCAACCCCTCATCTTGCCATAAACTTTGAGTATAGTTTCAACTAGCAAATCAGCAACGAAACAACAATAAACACATGCATACAAGACACGGTGATTTACGTTGAAAAACCTCCTCGGTGTGAGGAGGAAAAAACCACAGGACCAACGGTTCACTCCAAGCTTCCACTATAATCAACAATTGGTACAAATGGAGTCTTCTACATCTAGAGACACATCACAACATCAACTATAACATCAAGTTACACACTTGGCATCATCAACATCAACCATCAAAGTTAACAAGAGGTATATCAACAAACAAGCAGAGAAATAGAAGATTCTGTCTTGTTCGGTTCTCAGCTGAGATCTTCCAAACCACAGATGCAAATTGCACAAAACTTGACAGAAATGATGGTCTGAGTCCCTTCAAAGTTATCCAAAAAACAGCCCAATCGGACACCATTTGATCCCTCAAACTGACATTCTACCAACTGCTAGCTCCAAACTACAACTCCTAGCTCTAAACTCCCACTCCAATGGGAGCTGGCTCCTGTGGGATTGGAGACCAGTTGAAAAGTGTTTGGCTAGTATTCAGCTCCAGATCTGAAATTAAAAAAAAATGGAAAAAAAACAATCCCTTATCTCTCGTGAATCCCTAGGTTGCCGTCCCGTGTGCGTCGCCGGTCGCGGGCCGCGCACCGTCCCCCACGCGCCACCCACCGCCGCCGCGTCGTCCCCGCACGCGCCGTCAGCCGTGCGCCTCCAAGCCGTGAGCTGTCGACCCCGCCGCCTGTGCGCCTGTCGTGGGAGAGGTGAGGGTTACAGGAGGGAGAGAGAGAGAGGGGTGAGGAGGTGAGTTTGGTGTGGTTCAGTGGTATTTTTGTGTAAATATGTTAAAAAATTAGATGGTAGTGGGTCTATTAGGTTGGAGTGGAGCTGTGGAGCAGCAAAAACCCAACTCCACCCTCGTAGTTCATTTTTTAGGAGTAGCTCTGCTAACTCCACTCCCAAAAATGGAGGATCTGAACCGTTTGGCACAGTTCCGGTTCCAGGTAAGTTGGAGTTGGAAGCTAGAGCTGTGCCAAACGGGGCCTTCTTCTCCACTCTCCTCTCCCTCTCTTGTGTTTTGCTGGTTCATTCACTTTCTCAATGGATGCTGCTCTCACATCTCAATGTAGGCTAGGGTTTTTCTTCCCATCATAAAGGATGAGACAATCTCCATCATTGATCAACACATGAATCATGGCTCACATTTGTTGGACTTTTAGGCTACAATGGACTGAGAACAAAGGCTCCATAAGGAGGGAAATTTGGCCCAACAAACTCCCCCTCCCGACATCATGAAGCACCTCACTACCTTCCGAAAGTCATTGAGCCTTTGCTCTCAGCCCATTGCAGCTCAAAAGTCCAACAAATACGAGCCATTGATTCATGTGTTGATCAATGGTAGAGATTGCCTCATCCTTTGTGATGGAAAGAAAAACCCTAGCCTCCATTGAGAGAGGTGAGAGCAGAAGCCATTGAGAGAGGTGAAAGAACCAGCAAAAGAGGGAGATGAGAGTGGAGAAAAAGAGTTGCAGTTTGTTCAAGTTGGGGGGGCTCTTACCCAATCTTCATCAAGTCAGCGATTGAAGGCTCAAACGTGGTTGGATTGGCACCAAACTTGGTGAGTTTGTTCCTCACTTTGAGCACTTCAATCTGATCAGTTTGTGTGAGGATTGGTTGAGTAGAGCACCGGATTTGAGTGGTGGTTTGTCAGCTTGAGTTACTGCAGTTACAACTCTAGTACCACTTTGTTGGGGCTGAACCAAATCACTTCATGTGCAAACTACAATTCACCAACTGGCAAACATATTTCACACAATCAATCCCTCATCTTGCCATGAATTTCGAGGATAGTTTCAACTAGCAAATCAGTCGCGGAACAACAATAAACACATGCACACAAGACATGGTGATTTACGTGGAAAAACATACTCGGTGTGAGGAGTAAAAACCACGAGACCAACAGTCCACTCCAAGCTTCCACCATAATCAACAATGGGTACATATGGAGTCTTCTCTAGAACATCTAGAGGCACATCACAACAGCAGCTATAACATCAAGTTACACATTTGGCATCATCAACATCAACCATCAAAGCTAACAAGAGATATATCAACAAATAAGCAAAGAAATAGCGGATTATGTCCTTTTCGGTTCTCAGATGAGATCTCCCAAACCACAGATGCAAATTGCACTAAACTTGGCAAAAATGATGGTCTATGAGTCCCTTCCAAGATATCCAAAAAAAAAACAGCCCAATCGGACACCGTTTGATCCCTCAAACTAACATTCTACCAACTGTTGTGCAAGCTGTAACTGCAGTAACTCGAGCTGACAAACCACCACTCAAATCCGGTGCTCTACTCAACCAATCCTCACACAAACTAATCAAATTAAAGTGCTTAAAGTGAGGAACAAACTCACCAAGTTTGGTGCTAATCCAACCACGTTTGAGCCTCCAATCGCTGACTTGATGAAGATCGGGTAAGAGCCCCAAGCTGAACAAACTGCCACTCTTATTCTCCACTCTCCTCTCCCTCTCTTGTGTTTTGTTGGTTCTTTCACTTCCTCAATGGCTGCTGCTCTAACCTCTCTTAATGGAGGCTACGGTTTTTCTTCCCATCACAAAGGATGAGGCAATCTCCACCATTAATCAACACATGAATCAATGGCTCACATTTGTTGGACTTTTGGGCTGCAATGGGCTGAGAGCAAAGGCTCCATGTGGAGGGAAATTTGGCCCAACACCATGCACGAACCTGACAGCACAGATGTTGTAGTTTAATGTTTTTACTGCTTACTGTTTCCTGAACACTGCAAGAAACCCCCTTTGTAAACCATCTTCTGTGATACTACCGTGGTAACTATTTGATACTGATAAAGACAGGGAACCGACAAACTTAACCTGAATTTGCTGCAAAAGGCTTCATTGTTCTTGAAATTTGCAAATGTTTGCTACTGTTATCTGCTATATACTGTGTGTTATTCATCCACATCTCCTGAACCTGTACAGGGAAAGAGGATTGAGAATGGCGTGTATTTGGGGCCTGTTGGGTCCTTAACCTTTGAGGGGAGGCTGTCATGGAAGAAGAAGATACTCGCATTCATCTTCGAGCGGGTTCGCATAAAGGTCGGCCCTTTCGGCCCCCTCGAAATCAGCCTCGGAGGTGGCAATGATGGTAGGGAGCCGAGCACAAAGGACCCTTTCTTTGTGTGGTTCTATGTTGATGAGGAAATCGCTGTGGCACAAGGCAGAGGAGGGGGAGTGGCTTACTGGTGCAGATGTAAGCGTGTTCCATGAACTCTGAAGATTCAGTTCAGTCATCATTCCAGGATGTTCAGTTCAGTTTATGTATAGATAATTTTTCATCTTCTACATGTGTAAAAAAACGAAGTATTGAAAATGATACCAGTTCGATGATGTCTGCCTGTACCTGTAAATTGTGTTGGTATAGAATGCCAAACGATTGAGCATAGATGCAAAGCATATGGAGTATATTATGAGATAATTGACCATCATCCCCTTGTGATTACTGAACCCGGCGGCTTTCACAGATTTTCCTGGAAGCATGGAAGTCTAATGCCTTTCTCTGGAACCATCGAAGATCATGTGATGGCAGTGCTGATTGTTGCATAATACTGTAGTAGTGAAATAGTAGTGAGGGCTGCTACCCCACGGTATTCCGTTGCTCCTAGCAGTCACGGGATAACTAAAATCCCGAGAGATTTAATACGCATCATCAATTTCGTGGGGAGGCCCACGCTATCCTGCGATTCCACCTTATCCAATCCTCCCTGGTATCTTGGATAAGGTACCGAGGTGGTACCTGGTACACTGGTATCGACCGATACCTGGTACACCCTGGTATCGACTGAAACCCGGTACCCTGGGTATCGAGCTGATACCTAGGTATCAGGCCTTGGTACCTAGGTATCAGGTCTTGGTACCTAGGTATCGACTGATACCCCTAGGTATCGACTGATACCTGGTACCCTGGGTATCGAGCTGATACCTAGTTATCAGGGCTTGGTACCTAGGTATCAGGCTTTGGTACCTGGGTATTGACTGATACCTGGTACCCTGGGTATCGAGCTGATACCTAGGTATCAGGCCTTGGTACCTGGGTATCAGCGTGATATCCCAAGAGAGAGGAGGAGGAGGAGGAGTCGCGGGTTAGGGAAGTCGAGCAGCGGGGCGGCGGCGGAGGAAGAGGAAGAGGAGGCGATAGATCTGGTGCCTACCTTGTGCCATTCCGTCGCTCGTCGTCGTGCCTCGCTCCAAACCGCCGAACCCGTGGCTCCATCGACACCGCCTAGAGCAGCTCCTCGTCGCTCATGTTGTGCCAAGCGCTCGCCCCCGGTGGCCGCGTCCACCGCTCTCCGACCGTAGGAGGCGCCAGCGCCGCCAAGGAGGAGGAGGCGGCAGCGGCAAGGAAGCTACCGACAAGAACGACGAAGAGGAGGAGCGCCTTGAGGAGCTTGATGGGGAGGCTTCTCGATGGCGGCCGTCGCCCGTGGTGGTCGGGAGCTCCGCTGGCTGTCGTCTAGGTCGTTCGCGGGGGCTGGTGGTGACGGCGCCGCCGTCGTTGTCGTCGCCGTCGTTGCCGCCGCCATCGTCGCCGTCGTTGCCGCCGTCGCTGTCGTCGTCGTTGCTGCCGTCGTCGTCACCGTCGTCGCCGCCTCCGTGCTCATGGGTGGTAGTTACAGAGAGAGGGATCGAGTGGAGGGGAAAAGAGAGAGAGAGAGAGTGAGTGGAGGGGAAGAGACTGGAAGAGGGGAACAGGAGATAAGGCAGTAGTACTATTCCGTCTCCACGGAATACCATACGATAGATTTTCTGATTAGTACTAGATATGAGTAACACGCAGATAACATGTCTGAAAACAACAAGTATAGTAGTGCTTTTGTTACATTTGTTAAATTTAAGGGGTAAAAAGCATCCAACTTTTTGAGCAGATGATCGAAGGTTATTGGAAGCAGTTAGCTCCTGGAAACTTCGTATGGAATTATATACGGTTTCCACAGCTGCCGGCTTACTTCTACTTCCTTGTCTTCTTCTGAAAACCTTTGCAAAGATCACTATAATTTTGGTCAAATTCAACTATATGCTGGGACATTCTAATTTTTTTAACCGAATACTACCTTTTCTTTTCGATCCGCGTATTTGAATTGACTTGTAGCATATGAGGCTATAAATATGCATCTCATTTCATTTCATCTCACCCAAGGTTGTTCCAAAAATTTGGGAGTTCGAACTTCGAACGACTCGGCGCTCCATTCTGCCCACCGGCGGTGATCTCCACCCCCGCGGAGATGGGAACGGAGGCCGCAGCTCCGGCGAGGGCCATGGGCCCCACCAAGCTCGCGTACTTCGATGACATGTGGGCCCTCAGCTCCACCGCCACCGTCGTCTCCCTCCTCCAGGTTCCCCTCTCCTCTCCTCAGGATCTTGCCCCATCCATGTGCACGAACAAGCGGCCGTACTGTAGAGCGCGCGCAAAACCCTAGAGCCTGACTAGACTAAGCCCCTGGTGTCTCGTCGGCAGGAGGAGGGGGGCCGGCGAGCGGTGTTGGTGGACTCCACCGTCTTCTACCCGCAGGGCGGCGGCCAGCCGGCCGACACCGGCGTCATCTCCGCTGGCGGCGGCACCAGGTTCATCGTCGATGATGTGCGGATGAAGGATGGAGTGGTGAGAACCGAGAACTCGAAAAGGATACAAGCTTGCTGAGGATGTTGGATTTATTTTTTTTAGGCTAATTGAGTATTTGTGCTGGTAAATCAAGGTTTTCCACTATGGGAGATTTGAGGATGCTGGAGATGGATGCAATTCCGGGTTCAGTGAAGGGCAGAGCGTTAGCTTGGAAGTCGATGCGGAACGCCGCAACTTAAATTCCAGGTGTGCACGGTGTAAACTTGTATTGAGACGCCAAGAAATTTTACTGAAATCGTCAAGCTTGAAGTCTATAACTCCATATCAACCAAACTACATCTTCTTATTTATTCATACTGTCGCGGTTAATTAATTGCTGGCATGATAACTATCACATGATTTTAGTGACTTGGATATGAATTTCCATTAGGATGCTATGTTGGGATGATGTTGTATGAGCAATACCTCTTGGAAGAAGTTTGCGTTAATCATCATCGTTTCATCATGTTTTATTTGCTATGTGCATTTCCTTTCAAAAAAAATAATTGCTATGTGCATTTGCAGACCTATTAGCTTCTTGTTGAATCGTCGTGCTGAACCTGTGATGTTTGCTTGAAATCGTCAAGCTTGAAGTCTATAACTCCATATCAACCAAACTACATCTTCTCATTTATTCATACTGTCGCTGTTAATTAATTGCTGGCATGATAACTATTGCATGATTTTAGTGACTTGGATATGAATTTCCATTAGGATGCTATGTTGGGATGATGTTGTATCAGCAATACCTCATGGAAGAAGTTTGCGTTAATCATCATCGTTTCATCATGTTTTATTTGCTATGTGCATTTCCTTTCAAAAAAAATAATTGCTATGTGCATTTGCAGACCTATTAGCTTCTTGTTGAATCGTCGTGCTGAACCTGTGATGTTTGCTTGCAGGCTTCATTCTGCAGGGCATTTGATAGACATCTGCATGAGCAATATTGGCTTATCACATTTCGACCCTGGGAAAGGACATCATTTCCCTGATGGGTATGGTTGCTTGTTTTGGATGCTTTATTCTGTTGCTCCATAACAACAATTGATTACTCTTGGCCTTTGCGTCCAACTTATCATGTGTTCTCAAACTAATTTGGTTGTAGTTAGATTATTGTGTGCACAATTAAGTGTTCTTTGTTCACTGCAGACCTTTCGTTGAGTATAAAGGAGTCATTCCACCAGATCAGTTGCAGGATAAGAAAAACGAGTTGGAAAAAGAAGCAAATGAGTTAATTACTAAAGGAGCAAAAGTAAGACACACGAAGCTGTTCTTGTTGAAGTTTATAATGTTTATCTTGTGACTTCAATTTTTTACACTTGATGCAGGTATTAGCTTATATTTTACCTTATGAGGAGGCAGCTCAATTGTGTGGAGGTGCTCTGCCTAGCTACATTTCAAAAGTTAGTCCTATGTTCCTTTTTTCAGAAGCATTTGTTTTGGACTTTTGGTTGTACTAATTATAAATTCGCTCAAAATCATGGTTAGTTTTTGTATATTCTAATGGATTCTCCATAGTTATTCCAGTTTACTTTCCTCGCAACAGTTGCAGAAACATTTCCTTAAATGTGGAGTGTTGAGTTCGTCCTATATGTGAACCCATCATGAACTATCATAGAAACTGTCTGAAATAACGAAATGATAGTGTGATACTATTAAGTTCCAATTCTTTTTCTTTATATCATAAATTCTGAGTAGTGTTATGAATCATGTCACCTTTATTTTTGTTTCTAATTTATTTCATGAATTATTATAATTGTTTGTGGCCTAATGTTTTTGTTTCAGGATAGCACCCCTCGCATTGTGAAATTTGGTGATTATCCTGGTGGCCCTTGTGGTGGTACACATGTTGCCGATATCTCTATCATCAACAACATAAAGGTAATGCTTATTGATGGTGTATATTTCGGTGCTATTTTTCACTGGTTGGATTTTCTCAGAGTTTTACAAAATTCCTGAAGGCTTAATCACAAATCATAAAGCAGTGAAAAATGGTAATCAATCATGATTATCAGTTTGAAACCATCCAGCACAAAGACTGGAACAGTTTAGTGGCATCTGTGCATTCAGATGTATTTAATTAGTACTACCTTTTTTTTTTTTTTTTTTTTGCATATTGCTAGTTGATGCATGAATCGATGATCTTCGTGTCCATTCATCTGTCCTTAATTTGTTTTCTGCAAACCATTACTTTGGTGCTGCCTTTCTATGGCAGATGACTGAATATTTGTGATTTGTACCTTGCCCTTATATAAACCTTGGATTTGGAGATTGATCTAATTTGCAATGTTTCAGGTCACAAACATAAGAGTCAAGAAAGGCCTCACCAAAGTCTCCTACAGTGTCAGTCTATGATTCTTTTTACCCATGCATTTGGCACCTGGAATTTGTCAGAGGAGTGAAGAGGCAAACATTCAGTGAAATCAGAAGGCTGATACCAAATGATTTTTTTAAAAAATCTATGTTTAGACAAAGAGTAATTACATGTAATATTTTGGAAAGCACTGTTAGTTCTATGCTAAATTTCGTGTCACATCACTATATGTAACTTCCTGTACCACCATGGACTATATGTGTCTTTTTCCTGAATTATATCCAGGAAATTGTACTAGATTAGATTTGCTGGTTTAATCTTCAGATTGTTGTTCTGAATTGATCAGTCTTCGATGACAGATTTTTTTTTGTGTGAATTTAGCAGAAGAAAAAGAAGAAGAGAAAAACACTTGTAAGTAAAATCGGTCTAATTTATAATTTTCATCCTAATTATTTGGAAAAGGGAACGAAATTCCGAAACCTTATCCTAAACTCGTCTTCTTCTTCCACCTCCCGCTTATATTTGGCTACGCCCCAACCTCCCCATCACGACTCCTCTCCCTCCTCCGCTCCCAACCCCGATGGCGGTAGCGATGATGCAGACGCCGCTCCAGCTCCGGCTGCAGCCGCGGCCCCCGGCCGTTGTTGCTGCCCGCCACCGCCGCCGCCTGCAAAGCGGGTTCCCGCCGCCGAATCCGCGGCGAGGTGGTGGGTGGTGCCGCTGCTGCGCGAACGCCGACGCCGGGAAGGCGCAGGCGCAGGCGAGGAGGGCGTACCCGTACGACGAGATCGAGCCGAGGTGGCAGAGGCACTGGGAGGAGCACCGCACGTTCCGCACCCCGGACATCGGCCACGGCCTCGACACCTCCAAGCCCAAGTGCTACATCCTCGACATGTTCCCCTACCCCAGGTTTGCTGCTTCACTTGCTTCAGCTTACTATGCTTTCTGTGCTGCTACATTGGCTCTGCAATGGTGTAATCGGGTTAAGCTTGATCTGAGACCATGTAGTGCGAAACTTGGATAGTTGGATTACTTCTTACTTGGATCAATTAGATGCATAAACTCATCGAAAATTGTATGATTGGATTAGATACATGCTGTTCGTTGTACATGATTGTGCAATTTTTTTTTTTGTGCAGTGGAGCTGGGCTGCATGTTGGGCATCCCCTTGGGTACACGGCAACTGACATCCTGTCGAGGTTCAAGCGCATGCAAGGCTTCAATGTGTTGCATCCGATGGGATGGGATGCATTTGGTCTTCCTGCGGAGCAGTATGCTATCGAGGTTTTTACTCTTTCTTGTGGGACTTGGTCATTTAGCCTATTCTTCTTTATAGCGTGCTGATGCGTTGCTATGATCTGACCGATTTACATTTTGCACAGACGGGAACCCACCCTAAGATTACCACTGAACGGAACATCAATCGATTCCGCTCACAGGTGTCATATTTATATTTTGAAACCTTTTTAATTGATGTCACGGTAGCAAGTAAACTGAAGCCATCATGCTTTCATTTTTGGTTAGCAATTACATATGTTACTACTGTATTTTGGTGGTAGTTTTTCACTAGGTTGCGTTAAAAAAATAGAGCATGTTTGCTGCATTTAGCTTCTGCTACTGAGTTCCTAATGCTTTATCAGTTCATCCATATTGCAAAGGTGGAGTAATACTAATCAACCATAAAATGCAGGTTATATGATGTAAAATAATTAGGTAAATCATACATTCTGATGCTTGCTTTGATTGACCATACTGATTAATTCTCATCAGGAATACCCATAGTTCATAGCCTGAGAGCCTAATGCAGTGCTGAAGAAATACTTGATTTGCATCAGTAGCTTAGTTTGCCACTAATTTGCTCCTTCATTGATTACCAATCGTTTATTTGGAGCATATGCTTTCTGGTGTTGCAGCTCAAATCGTTAGGTTTTTCATATGACTGGGATCGTGAAATTTCCACAACGGAACCGACTTACTACAAATGGACACAATGGATTTTCCTTCAACTACTGAAAAGAGGACTGGCCTATCAGGTTAATGCTACTAGTATCCTTGCTTGTCCAATTTTTTGAATTGCAAACATGTCATGTTTATTGTTTGATACATTTCCTGTTTCGCATCTCCTTTATTTGAACTGATCATCTGCTCTGTACCATTCATTTTAGGATTCTGTTATGTTCTTAGTGTTGTATTTGTGGTTTTCAATGATTTTTAGGCTGGCATTGCTATCTTACAATCAGGCTGAGGTACCGGTTAATTGGTGCCCTGCTCTTGGAACTGTTCTGGCGAATGAAGAAGTAATAGATGGTGTCAGTGAACGTGGTGGTCATCCTGTTATACGAAAGGTATGTTTTAGAATCTGCACTATATTGTCAGTTTAGCCTTTTCTTCCATCTATACTCTTTCGTGTCAAAGTACCTGTTGCTAAGAACCTGTATGGAAAATAAAGTATACCACTGTGATCGATTTTTATATTTTGTTGTATAGCCAATGCGCCAGTGGATGCTGAGGATTACATCTTATGCTGATCGACTTCTTGAAGATTTGGATGAACTTGATTGGCCTGAGAGCATCAAAGAAATGCAAAGAAACTGGATAGGGAGATCAGAAGGCGCTGAGCTTGAATTCTCAGCTGTGGACAAGGAAGGGCACGATCTAGGTGCTAATTTGTTAGTTTACACAACAAGACCTGACACAATTTTTGGTGCAACGTGTGTATTCTGGATCCTTTCTTTAATTTGCACAAAATTATTAGTCTTCTCTTAGATGGTCAATGTTAAATTACACCTTTTCTGTTGCAGATATGTTGTTCTGGCACCCGAGCATTCTCTATTGTCATCTCTAATTTCTGAGGAACAACGTGTACATGTATGTTTTTTTGGTCCCTTTTCTCACCATTACCATTATCATGTTTAGAAGCATAATATAGACTAACTGGAAAAGCAGGTAGAGGAATACATAGAACTCACAGCAAGAAAGAGTGAACTGGAAAGAACTGATCTTCAGAAGGAAAAAACTGGAGTTTTTAGTGGTTCTTATGCTAAGAACCCAGCAACTGGGGAGATAGTTCCAATATGGGTGGCAGATTATGTTTTAGGAAGGTTTGTCAAAACATCTTTGCCTCCTGTGTACCCAGAAGTTACATTGTGCATCATCATCTTCATCTTCGAAACAAAAATGATGCTATTAACTCTACACTGTAGGTTGCCAGAGGGCATGGTAATTCAACATCTTAAAATAAATACACACTTTATGCTACTTACTGTAATGTTAAACAGAACAGTCTGAATGTGGAGCTGTCACATACATTCTCTGCTTTAGGTTCTCAATGAAGATTATTTTGATTTTCCTTGTTATGATTAGTATATATTTTTTAAACCATTTCTTCATTTGGAAGTTGGAATTTGCTTTTATTCAGATGCATGTGAAGGGGTCTGGCAGAGTTGTTTTTCATGACTCATGGAAATTGACCACTGAATTGCGGGGTGTTATCCCACACTCGCAGTAAATTTAACAATTATCTGAGGAAATGAAAAACCTACTTTTATACTTGTTAGTTTTGCATGCTCTAAATTTTAAATGCTACCTTGCAGCTATGGCACTGGGGCTATCATGGCTGTGCCTGCACATGACTCACGTGACCATGAATTTGCCTTGAAATATAAACTTCCAATCATTAAGGTTGTAAGTCCACTCAATGGCAATTGTGACTCTGAGGAGGCATATGCAGATGATGGTATCATGATAAACTCATCCAGTTCTTCATCTGGATTAAATATTGATGGTATGCTTTCCAAGGATGCTGCTTTGAAAGTTACTGAATGGGTAGAGGCTAATGGCTTTGGAAAGAAAAAGGTGCATTCTTTATCCCACTTCATCATGTAACAGCCTTCTTCATGCTACTTCTTTCACTATAAAATAATTAAGCAAACCCAACTATCAGGTGAACTACAAGCTTCGAGATTGGCTCTTTGCTAGACAGCGTTATTGGGGTGAACCTTTCCCTGTGATTTACCGTGATGATACCAATGAAATGCTGCCCCTTCAAGAAAACCAGTTGCCTTTAACTCTTCCTGAATTGGATGATTTCACTCCAACTGGTACTGGAGAGCCTCCTCTGACCAAGGCAACAGATTGGGTATGTGTTGTTAGCAGTTTGGTACTAACAATTTGTTGCTTCTTTTGTAATGACTGAGAACACTCCTAGTCAGTATGTTTCTATCAATCATATCGGAATTGAATGATGAGATCTAATTTAAACTACTACCTGTTAGTATATTTATATTTATATGTTCGGCAAAGTTGGCATGGAGATGTGTTTTGAGGTTTTAGTCCCCCTTACTTTTGCTTATACATAGCAAATCTATTAAAAGGTTTTGCTGCCTTTTTAGGTTAAAACCGTAGAACCTTTGTCTGGGAAGCCTGCTAGAAGGGAAACAAGCACCATGCCACAATGGGCTGGATCATGCTGGTAACTTATTCATGACACAATTTCAATAATTTTATAACAATTTACATAATTGACTCCAAATAGACTGCGTCTATCAATGTTTGTTTTAACTAGCAAAATGCCCGTGCTTCACTACGGGTAAAGGAACTGTTAAATTCTATAAAGTACACCGTTAACATGTATATAATAATGTTCCAAGATAGGTAAATTATTTATTGCGCTAATGATAATCAAGATGGATAAAAATATTCCTGCTTAGCTCGCATCGTGAAAGAAAAAAAGATAAAATTGAATTAGAACATATTAAATTCTAATTAAATGAAATATAAATTTTCTGTAATATTTGGGTATTTTTTAAGTAGGTAGGTATATAATTAAATTAATTTATAAGTAAAGTAAGTGTGAGAAATAAAATGTTATGGTTGGATTTAATTTTTATTAAATTTTCTATATCATTAATTACACTCATTGAAATTTTCTTGGAATTTACGTAGCTTAATTGCTAATTTTGATAATACAAACATCATTTAAGTATTTATTTAAATAAAAATCTAAATAAAAATTCTTTTATCTCTATGGGCCTTTTTCGGCCCACTTTCTTCTTCAGCCTACAAGTGACCAAAGTCTAATTTATATCCCTATACTCTTCCTCTCGCTTGCTAGACTGTTGGCCCGCGTGCGGCCCAAGTGGTGCGGCCCAAACCCTTGATCGATCTCAGCTGTTCATTTTGATGGACGGCTCAGATAATTTTGAAATGGATGAAACCCTAACCCTAACCCTCCCCCTCCCCCTCCACCTAGCCGAGCCGGCCGCCTCCCCCGCCCCCAACACCGGCTCTCCCCCTCCCCTCCCCTCCGGCGGCCCCCTCCCCCCCAGCCGAGCCGGCCGCCTCCCTCGCCCCTGACGCCGCCTCTCCCCCTCCTCT